CACACTGCTAAGCGCCACCTACAAGGTACTCTCCCAAATTCTATGCCGCCGCCATTTGCAAAAGAGTTTGTGGGGTAATACAAGGCGGGATTCATGGGTGCCCACGCTACCACGGACCAAATTTACGCGATTTGAAAGAAAGCTTGAGAAATGCCGCGAATACAACGTGCCCACACATCATTTGTTCATCGATTTCAAATCCGCATGCGACACAGTTAAGTATGGATAAATGGCAAAATATATGTTCTAACCTTGTATTACTCGTCTAATTTTGCATAGTATTTGCAATGTAAAATTAGACGAACTAACCGTTGTATTTGGGGTACTCGTATACAACGTATATTCGTTATAAGTCAGGTAACACAGTATTCCTTGTACATCGCCGTCTTGACTAGCCTTGAGCGTCGCGGAATCGTGATGAGTACGTGAACGACTCGACAAACGGTGCAAAGAATTTAGCGTCATAACGAAGTCGAATGAAAGGAAGGAGAAGATAGGAGCAAATGTGGTAGCGGAACGAAGAAGGGGCCCCAACGAAGACAGTAGAAAATGAAGAAAGCATATTACCCAAGTAACAATTTTGGTTTTATGAAGGTCCTGTAGACCTTGATTTGGACTTGTAGAATGCTATAAAACCTCGATAAAACCTGCAATGTTACTTGGGTAGATTAGCTTGAAGAAATGGGTGGAGAATATATGTACACTTAAGTAAATAGGGGAAACGGATGTAATTTCGGCCTAAATGGTTCTAATTTGGGCCCATACATAAATTCAGCAATCGACTAAATTTTTCAATAACGACCAAAAATATCCATTAAATAGTACCGTCGTAATGACGTGTTCGTCTAGATTACCTCTCACCCAGGCATACCAAAAGTACCGCCTCATGACAGTATTCCAACGGCTGTCGCTTTCTTTTCCCTACGACAGCCTTGAGATTGAGCTATAAGCGACAGCCCACAGTGAGGCTGTTATACGACATGCAACGTTGCCGTCTTGTGCAGTACACGACAGCTCGTTCTTAGTCATGTATTTTGTTCGTTCGGCTATGACAGCCTCGGATGGTCATTCGTAACGTTCCTCGTACATACAACAAGCAGTCCGTCGAACTGCCGATTCGTTGCTGCTGTCTTAGAAATTTTGTTTGTATGTCGTAAGACTGCTACTACACTACCAGTGTGGCAACCAGAGATGCCAGATCTACGGAAATCTCCGTAGATCTACGGATTTTACAATTTTTTGCGGAAATACGGATCCGTAGGCAACATCTACGGAATTCGGTACAGTTTCTACGGATTTTTCTCTTCAGTGTACGTCTCCCTTCAGTATCGAATTTTACAATCTAGAGCATAATCTGATTCTGAAGGGAAAGAAGCATAAAGTAAAATACACCTATGCAACTTGTCAACCGTTTTCTTGCTCGATTATCTGTCATACGACACTGTCGCCCAAGGGCATCACGAATATATGTATTTTAATTTTTCTCGTAATAAGAGCTGCTGATGGTGTGCTTGTGTGAATTCTGAAAATAACAAGCAACGATGTCATAGTAATACAAAATTTTGATCAGAAATGGTTTAATTTACACCAAATTGAGGAATTAGAACGAAATCACATATGTCATATGATAGTTTTTTGATAATCTTCTTTTTGCTCGAATGTTGTTCTACCGTTTGCGTTGTGTAAGAGAGACGCCCCGTCAGCTCGATGATGATCAGGCCTTCAACGTGTTCATCAAATGGCACCTCACTGTAACACCGCTACAGGATCACAATTGATCAGATTGCCATAGATGGTCTTGAAACCCCTGCAGTGGATCCTCAAATTGAGCTGGAAACCATTGCCGTGGATAATGAGACAGAATTGCTGCTTGAGCACCGATGAAACGCTCCTTTGGAATGAGGACAAATGCCTGGAGATCGCTCCCGCGCAAAACAGGGTTCCTCTGTCATTAATTTATGACGAGCACGGTGAAGAGATAGCTTTGCCTGCCATATGTCTCGGCCATGTAGGGAAATTCAAGTCAGGGGTTCGGGTGACATATTTCATGATGGCATCCAGTGAAACTCGTCGTCAAGACAGGCATGTGGCCAAACCACAATATTTGTTGTATATGACAATGAAAGTTCATCGCCTTAGAGTTTCCGAAGGCTTGCAATTCACTTTTAAGTGCACGGGGACCGCAAACTTTACACGTGTCAACCTTAAGGACCGCCTTATTCATCGAGCAGTGCATTGAGCGAAATCTATCCTTCCTCAAATCAATACCGATTTCAGTACAGAATTGGCAACAAAGGAAGAGAAATTTGTTCACCATGATGCGACAATTGGGAAAGCCTACGATGTTCCTCACACTCAGTGCAAATGAGATAAAGTGGCCCCATTTTTTGAATCTCCTACATCGATTGTCAGAAGGACACAATGGCAATGACTTAACAGATCCTATCCAGGAATTGACTGCACTACAAAGAGCAACTCTGGTCAATGATGATCCAGTATGCTGGTTGACACGATTGAATTTCAGCCCCGTGGAAGTCCTCACGCGCACATCTTGCTATGGCTGACCAAGGATCCCCGGGAAGCAATCAGTGAAAGTATGCCAAAAACTACAGGTGCAACAGTATCATGGTATTCATGCCTGTACTACCATCGGCCCTTTTCAGGGCCACCAAGATTTTCCAAAAGAGTTAAGTTTCTGAACATGTCCCAACTAAAATTCATATCAAAGGCTTCTTTTCAGGGCAATCATAGTCATACTAAAAAGCATGAACAGAGAGAACCCCGCTAAAATTCCTATTCCTACACAAAAAAACAAATTCCTGCAAATAACATTTATTATATAAGACCACGTAGTCCTACGTCACCATTGCGTACAACCCAAAGGGCTGTCCCTAGTTTTTCAAAAGTTCTTTCATCGATTTATCATTGAACGTAAACTAAAAACAAATATCACCTCCGACTAAAAAAATCCGTAGAAATCCGTAGATATGAACAAGTCTACGGAATTGCATAGAAATAAATCTGGCATCTCTGGTGGCAACTTTGCGCAGTGGCGATATCGTACCAGTGTGGCGCCGGAGCTCGTTCGGTTGCTATCACGTTCGTGCTGCCCATTGCAAAATTTTCATCCGATATTTTTTTAAAACGCGCGGTCTCCGGCGAAAAATATAAGCCTACCCGACACCAACCTGACTTCTACCAAACCCCAACCCGATGTTGGCCCGACATTGACCCGACATAAACACAAAATTGACCCGACATCGACCCGACATTTGCCAGACGTCGACCATAAATTGACCTTACATTGATCCGACATCGGGCCGACATATCTGTTCGGGATCATTATTCTGGGTTTCTTCCATACTCCACTGCCGTATATCAATTCTCGATTACTTTTTCGAAGGGACGTATCAGCTTTTGTAAACAATGCATTTGATCGTCGATTTTACGTAACTGGTAGCTCGTCGACGCATTCTAACACTACCCACAGATAGGGAAACTTGTCTCCTACCTGATAGTGTTGTTAGTATTCTTGGGAGAGCTACCAGTTACGTCAAATCGACGATCAAATGCATTGTTTACAAAAGCTGATACGTCCCTTCGAAAAAGTAATCGAGAATTGTATATAATGTCTCGTGACAGCCTTTTCGTGACAGCCACTTGGGTAAGCTGAGGGATGTCGTCGGTTTGTGAAGGCTGTTATGACGACAGAAACATTGAGAACCTGGTCATAAAGAAATGTATAAATACAGCCCATTCGGTTCACTACGTTCCAAGCACGATGATTTTAGCAAAGCGGGTATAGATGCGACTGTTCTAATACAGCTTCCATTCGTTCGTGCGTGTGCTGTTGCCAATACACTTCGAATTCAGAGCTGAACGTACGGTAGCAAGCGGCAGTAAAGCACACAAAGCAACAGTCAATTCAGGTATAAACCAACTGTCGCGAGGAGGCTGTACTATTTGGAAGCCTGCTCTCACCCCAGCAGGCCTGGGTTCAGTCCCAGTCGGCGCCGTCGGGATGTTCTGAGGCATAACATCTCTGATCACGCCTTCCTTCGGAAGGGAAGTAAAACCGTTGGCCCCCGGTTCATGAGTTGATGGGTCGATAGGTAGGGTCCAGGAAGGCAACTGGCGTCGGTAGCATAGGTGCTCAGCACGGAAAACAAGATCGATGGAAAACAAATCAAGGAAAAAAAAGATTTTTAGCGATGGGCCCAATCTTAGATCCATAGGCCAAGGGTAAGGGTGCGTGCCGACCCTAAAGATGAGTGGCCCCAAAAATAAAGCCTCAACAGCCTCTGGGGGAAGAGTCACCCTTTGTGACACTCCCTTGTCATGTAGTGTAGGCCAGCTGGCCATTTGTTACACACGAACATATGTCTGCTTGTGTTTGGCTGGTAAACGGCTAGACAACGCGGACTACATACAAGGTAGGAGTTTACTCATTTGTAAATAGCATTGCACTCACTGATGGTTTTTCTTGAAGCAACCGATAAAAAAGAGTTCGAGGTTGATGGAGTTGGTCAAAACACAGTAGATTTTCATTTAGGTGAAAAGCTGTTCTCAACAGAAACAAACACTGCTGTTTTCGGACTTTCACTGAAAAATATCATTGAATTGGTTCTGCATTCTCAGAACCAAGTTTCACGAGCTGAGTGAAAAGTTATTAACAAATGAGCAATTTGTATGAACAAATTAGAATACCAACCATGGAATTTAGACCGGTTATCGGAAAGTGCAACAGCAGTCTGGGAGTCCGTTGCTGTACACAGTATTCCATTCCACTTGATGATCATGGCCTGTCTGCGAAAGAACCGTAAGATGATTGCGATTTGCGATGTCGCAATGTCGATGAAGATTTGTATGAGAATTACTAAGGAAAACCTGATAATGTTTATAAACCGCTAAAAAATTTAAATAATTCCGAAGTAAATAAATCAATCAGTAAATCCATTCCATAACACAGTCAATACTCATCAAATTTTATTTTTTTTCAGGAGTAATCGCTAACACACTCCAGTATTTCGGAAGCTTCCCCTCTCCGGTGTGTATCTACATGGGACCTTTGCCCCATGTGACCATTTTCGATCCCGAACAGCTCCAGGTGCTTCTGCATTCTCAGAACTGCCTTGATAAATCCATTCAGTACTCATTTCTACGGGTTTCCCGAACGATGATAAGTGCACCCGGTAAGTCGAGCTTTATTTTAAACTGGCTTCTGTACATGCTTAGCCAATACATTCCACTCTAATTGTAGCTCACTTGTGGAGGGGACAAAGGAAAGCTCTGAATCCTTCGTTCGGACCTGTCATTCTCAACAATTTCATTCCGATCTTTAACGAGAAATGTGCCATCCTGACTGGATTGCTTGAGCAGCACGTTGGGAAACCAGAACGCAACTTCACCCGAGACATTTGCAAGTTCACTCTAGATCAAATCTATGGTTAGTTGAGTTGTTCTAAAAACAAGCGAAGATTTTAACCTTTTGTGTTTTTAGCAACCGCATTTGGATGTGACTTCCACATGCAAGTCTCTCCGGATGGAGAACGCTCCCTGGATCTGCTGGAAGCATACATAAAGCTTATGGTAGCGAGGTTCTTCACAGTGTGGAAGTACCCGGAATTCATCTACCGCATGACAAAATCGTACAAAAGAGAGCAAGAAATTCTTAAAACCTATCACGATACAATCATTATGAAATTGATACGAGCGATAAATTTTGAAGAACAGTTGACCAAGTCCAACGATAATCTCACAAATGAAGACATCGGTACCAAAAAACCGCAAATTTTCATCGACCGTCTTCTGCAACTGATGCGAGAGGGCGATCAAGTGTCCAGGGAAGACATCTTTCAGCAAATTGATATGATTCTGTTCGCGGGTAATGACACAACGGCCAAAACGACTAGCTTCATCTTGCTCATGTTGGCAATGTTCCCGGAAGTGCAGGAGCGGTGCTATCAGGAGATCGTAGAAGTCTGTCCGGGGGAAGATCAAATAGTTTCGGCTGAAGATGCCGCACACCTTACCTACCTGGAAATGGTATGCAAAGAGACGATGAGACTGTTCCCCGTCGGTGCCATACTGGCTCGGGTAACGACAGCTGACATCAAGTTGGACGGTGAGTGGCTCGTTCAATTGCTCAGAACAAGTATCTTATTATCTTATTTTCACGATCTTCCAGATAAATACACCATTCCGGCCAACTGTACCGTAATCATGGGCGTCTATCAAATCCACCGGGACCCGAAAATATGGGGTCCAAACGCCGACAAGTTCGATCCGGACAACTTTCTTCCAGAAAATGCGGCTAAGCGACATCCCTACGCCTTTCTTCCGTTCAGCGGAGGCCCACGGAATTGCGTCGGAATGCGCTATGCGTGGTTATCGCTGAAAATCGTAGTCGTCCATATGTTGAGAAAATATCGTCTGAGGACTTCACTCACTATGGACCAGATTCGGATCAAGTACGGCATCATACTGAACATCGCGAATGGTTGCATGCTAACGCTGGAAAGACGGTAGCGCAGCGATTTCGAGTATACGTAGTGAATAAAGTTGTACAAAGTTGTTGTTTTACTAGAGAAAGTCACTTGAAACCGTGAAAGAAATTGGAGCAACGCGAATGATATAGGGGAAATGGATGTAATGTCGGCTTAAATGTCCCTAATTTGGGCCCATACAAAAAATCATCAATCGACTAAATTTTCAATAGCGACCAAAAGTATCCATTAGTACCGTTACAATGACGCGTTCATCTAGATAAAATTGATAAATAGCAGATTTTTAGTGATGGGCCTAATCTTAGATCCATAAGCCAACATTAGAGCCATTTCCTCATACTTTGCTGATGACGGATGCCAGTAGGGCAAATTTTGATTAATTTGCTTGAAAATGGTGCATCCAATATTTCATATTGCTAACTGTTTGCCTACAAATGCAGACAGCATTATATTATAGGGGGTATAGGAGGGTTGGGATACTTGATTCGGAGGAGACTTGGTCCACCCAGGTTATTTCAACGATAATGAATTGAACATTTTATGAATTCTTCAATAACTATACATTTTCCATTAACAAAATATCGGAAATGTTGTTATATCTTTGTTTAGTTAGTCTTTGGATTCGGATTAATAATAGATCATTTTCATCAGTCGGAACTTTCAACTAGTTTACATTCTTGGGAGCATATTTGGCTTGAATTTAAAAAAAAAAGATAACCTACCTATCTAAATATAACTTAGATCCCTAATGGTCTGGTGATATGACCTGAGACAGGTGTCTATGAACCTTTCAGGGATGAACATTATCCGTTCTTCCAGTATCTGAATTCCAGCCAGGCGATAGATCTCAACATTTTGAGTTCCCCGCTGGACTTTTTAGGATCATCATTTTCGTGGATCGTTAGGGAGGCAGAAAATCCCGGCGGCGCTAAGGGCCTATCATTGTTGATCGATTCTCTTCATCGATTTTCTCTTTCACGAATAACCCGACTGCAAATGAATGTATGGGGACGCAAATGAGATACATTATTGACTGCTTTCGAGAACGTAATTTCATTTGAATAGCTTGTTTAACCAGGGCATAAACAATAGTCACTTCGGTCATAGCTTGTTATGATAGCCTGAACAATGCGTAAGGAGCAAATCGAAACATTGAACATCGCGTGAAATTGGAACTTAATTAAGGCCCAAGTACTTTTTCATAGTTTTCGGATTTCAAAGATCATCGGTTGCAGTGGCTTGCTTACTGAGCAGAAAAACGCGGTACCAGGTCCTTTAATATTAAAGAGATTTATGGTCAAATCGCTTGTTTATCGTGTATTTTGCGAAACTTCGTCGGTGTCGGATTTAAATCGTTAAAATAACTCGAGTAACGGTATGTTGTGAAATGAGGGGCTCGGTGGCCTCAGACCGACCGTTTTTGCTTACTGAGCAGAACATTCTGAGTCTAATATCAGGCCCATCCACATTCAAGATTCGTCAAATCGTTTTATTTCTTAATATGACTACATGGTAATAACAGCAACTCGATGGAGTGGCAGAGATTACCAGTGGCAAACGTGTTTGCTTACTGAGCAGAAGACCGTGGGTAGGGCATCAATTCAACTTATCGTTTACCAAAACGAACACTGCTACAAACCCAACCCGCTTACCAAACATCCCAGTGATTCCTCGTCGAAGTGCAGAGAACTCCTCGGCTTCCATCAAAGCGAGTGTCACGTCCTACCCATTCCTTTCTTAACCTACGTTCGAGCGCCGCCGACGCTGCTATTGCCTAGTTTGAGATCACCAGTTTTTACACATTGTGGATGAATTATAGTCCCAAGCATCGTCCATTCGTTTTCTGTGTAATTACAGCTGATCTGGCAATAACAGAGTAGCAACAGTGGGCGGTCAATTATGCTCATGCTCATCCTGAGGATTTTATGTTTTTTTTATAAATTCATTTATTTGTCAAGGCTAAATTGCGTTAGCTTTACGGATCCGTAATTCGATATATATTAACAATATTTCTTATAACTAAAGTTAGTAGAACGGGGGCCGACTACTCGCGGCTTACTCGAGGTTAAGGACTACAGGTTGGACGTGGAATTGGGAGGAAGTACATGGGGATGAATTGTCGTTTTAATCTCCGTCGCCGTTGCATCGATGAATAAACGTAGAGGAAGCACTGCGGTGGCGTGCAAGTGCCATGAACCTCGAAAGGTGAATGGACGGTTGATGGGACAACTGAAATGAAACACTATAAAAGGGCCTATCTTGGGAGAACAAGGATTTTTATTTGAATCCTTTGAAGTTTGAGGTGATGGCATTAATAACAACTCTCCCAGATTGGCATACTACACTCCATTACAGGTAGGATTATTTGTTTGTAGAAAGCAAGCTTATTTTCAGGGACAAAGTGGATTTCCTGTTGTTAAGCAGATTTGATGATCTTATCAAAATGTTTCACTTGGTAGTTATGCCAATGTGCTCCATAGTGTTAGTTCGGGGTACACAACCTCTTTGTACCATTCTACTACAGAGGCGTTTAAGCAGATTTTATTATTTCCAGGCGGAACAGGTCTTGATGAGTGGGAATGTGGAAAAATGATGACTTGGGTATTCACCGCATTGATCTCTGAAGCTTGTGGCAGGTGTAGCTCCGATCACCCGATGGATGATAGACGATGGATGTGTCAACTACAAACAGAGACAACGAACCACCATCAGGGAGAGCCAGAATGTCGGAGGTGAACAAGTTGAACAGGATGGGCCCAAGGATACTTCCTTACGGAATGCTCGCACGAATGTTGAAGTGACGCCATTTAGACAGACTTGTAATCTCCTGTCTGAGAAGATTGGAAGACCGCATCGTTGTAATTTGTAAACGAGAACATCATGCCAGACATTATCAAACGCTTTTTTAACGTCCAACAATGCCATAGCAGATGTTTTGGGGACAGACTTTTCCCTTCTGAGAACATTGGATACTCTACCCAACAAACAATTGAGAGCTCTTATAAAACACCTGAGTTGATCAAACGTTGAATAATAGCTTCCAGAGTTGAACAAGAGTGTAGTTGTATTGCCATTTGATTAAAAGTTTTAAAAGCTGTTGGAGCACTCTTAAATGATTGTTTACGTTCGGTTTAACTATATGCTTTATAAGACCTACGATAACTTTTATAGCACCTTAGTTAAACTGTTTGACAGGAGCCATATAGGATGTGGAATAAACACATCAAAACAAACCATTGGGAGCTCTTATACAACACCTGAGTTGATCAAACGTTGAATAATAGCTTCCATAGTTGTACAAGCATGTAGTTGTATTGCCATTTGGTTAAAAGCTTCAAAAACTGCTTGGAGCACTCTTAAATGATTGTTTACGTTCGGTTAAACTGTTTGACAGGAGCCATATAGGATGTGGAATAAACACATCAAAACAAACCATTGGGAGCTCTTATACAACACCTGAGTTGATCAAACGTTGAATAATAGCTTCCAGAGTTGAACAATAATGTAGTTGTATTGCCTTTTTGGTTAGAAGCTTCAAAAGTTGCTTGGAGCACTCTTAAATGATTGTTTACGTTCGGTTAAACTGTTTGACAGGAGCCATATAGGATGTGGAATAAACGCATCAAAACAAACCATTGGGAGCTCTTATACAACACCTGAGTTGATCAAACGTTGAATAATAGCTTCCAGAGTTGAACAAGAATGTAGTTGTATTGCCTTTTTGGTTAGAAGCTTCAAAAGCTGCTTGGAGCACTCTTAAATGATTGTTTACGTTCGGTTAAACTGTTTGACAGGAGCCATATAGGATGTGGAATAAACACATCAAAACAAACCATTGGGAGCTCTTATACAACACCTGAGTTGATCAAACGTTGAATAATAGCTTCCAGAGTTGAACAAGAATGTAGTTGTATTGCCAATTGGTTAGAAGCTTCAAAAGTTGCTTGGAGCACTCTTAAATGATTGTTTACGTTCCGTTAAACTGTTTGACAGGAGCCATATAGGATGTGGAATAAACGCATCAAAACAAACCATTGGGAACTCTTATACAACACCTGAGTTGATCAAACGTTGAATAATAGCTTCCAGAGTTGTACAAGCATGTAGTTGTATTGCCATTTGGTTAAAAGCTTCAAAAACTGCTTGGAGCACTCTTAAATGATTGTTTACGTTCGGTTAAACTGTTTGACAGGAGCCATATAGGATGTGGAATAAACACATCAAAACAAACCATTGGGAGCTCTTATACAACACCTGAGTTGATCAAACGTTGAATAATAGCTTCCAGAGTTGAACAAGAATGTAGTTGTATTGCCAATTGGTTAGAAGCTTCAAAAGTTGCTTGGAGCACTCTTAAATGATTGTTTACGTTCCGTTAAACTGTTTGACAGGAGCCATATAGGATGTGGAATAAACGCATCAAAACAAACCATTGGGAGCTCTTATACAACACCTGAGTTGATCAAACGTTGAATAATAGCTTCCAGAGTTGTACAAGCATGTAGTTGTATTGCCATTTGGTTAAAAGCTTCAAAAACTGCTTGGAGCACTCTTAAATGATTGTTTACGTTCGGTTAAACTGTTTGACAGGAGCCATATAGGATGTGGAATAAACACATCAAAACAAACCATTGGGAGCTCTTATACAACACCTGAGTTGATCAAACGTTGAATAATAGCTTCCAGAGTTGAACAAGAATGTAGTTGTATTGCCAATTGGTTAGAAGCTTCAAAAGTTGCTTGGAGCACTCTTAAATGATTGTTTACGTTCCGTTAAACTGTTTGACAGGAGCCATATAGGATGTGGAATAAACGCATCAAAACAAACCATTGGGAGCTCTTATACAACACCTGAGTTGATCAAACGTTGAATAATAGCTTCCAGAGTTGTACAAGCATGTAGTTGTATTGCCATTTGGTTTAAAGCTTCAAAAACTGCTTGGAGCACTCTTAAATGATTGTTTACGTTCGGTTAAACTGTTTGACAGGAGCCATATAGGATGTGGAATAAACGCATCAAAACAAACCATTGGGAGCTCTTATACAACACCTGAGTTGATCAAACGTTGAATAATAGCTTCCACAGTTGTACAAGCATGTAGTTGTATTGCCATTTGGTTAAAAGCTTCAAAAACTGCTTGAAGCACTCTTAAATGATTGTTTACGTTCGACCAACCACAATTTCGTTGCTAAAAATAGCACAAGTGATAGGCATGTTTATATAACCATAAGGCAATGATTATTCGACTGCAAGAGAAGTCACTCAAGATGAGCTTGATATACTTCTCTCATATGATCAAAATATGTATTCAAGAATAGAGCAGATGGAAACAGAAGCGGCTGGCAATCCGGGATCATGAGTTCGAATCTTGCTTCGAGAAACCTTCGGTGGAGTAGAGGTAAATTATATATAGGTGTTATTAATAAATGCAAACATTAATTTAAGACATATATCATATAATCAACGATAACATTTCTAGATAAATTCTCTCAATTAATTATTAGGGAGATTAATCGAAAGAATATCAATCAAAGATTAAACCGATGCTAGTTACTACTTCCTCCATGATCACAGAATGTGTATTATGGCATAATTACATATTTTTTCAATGTGCACAAATAAATTAAATTAATAAAAACTGTACAAGCAATTATTTTGGCGTACCACGACAATTGTTAAACTAATTTTAATCTGTGAATATTGTGAGTACTTACACAACGGTTATTAAGGAGTCATTAAAAAGTGCTATAAACGCTTTTCACCGCTTCCTGTATAGTGATTATTTAGGAGTCATAAAAGAGTGTAACAAACGCCTCTCAGGTTCAATCTCTAATACATTTCGAAGCAGCTGTTAGGAGGTGTCTACAAACGTTGTATTAGAGCTTTCACCAAAACAATAAAGCTTGAGTTTAAATATGTATCTATAAACGTTGTATAAAAGTTGCTTCTATCCGGTTGTTAAGGAGTCATTGAAAAGTGCTATAAACGCTTTTCACCGCTTGCTGTACAGTGATTATTTAGGAGTCATAAAAGAGTGCAACAAACGCCTCTCAGGTTTCCTCTCTACTAAATTTCAAAGCAGCTGTCAGGAAGTGTCTACAAACGTTGTATAAGAGCTTTCACCAAAACAATAAAGCTTGACTTTAAATATGTATCTATAAACGTTGTATAAAAGTTGCTTCTATCCGGTTGTTAAGGAGTCATTGAAAAGTGCTATAAACGCTTTTCACCGCTTGCTGTAAAATGATTATTTAGGAGTCATAAAAGAGTGCAACAAACGCCTCTCAGGTTTCCTCTCTACTAAATTTCAAAGCAGCTGTCAGGAAGTGTCTACAAACGTTGTATAAGAGCTTTCACCAAAACAATAAAGCTTGACTTTAAATATGTATCTATAAACGTTGTATAAAAGTTGCTTCTACTCCTATACCGCGTATACATATAATGCTGTAGTTGAACAGGTTCTCCAAACCAGTGTAAACAAGAGTTTTACAGAAGTTGTAATAAACAAATTGTACAGTTATTATTCAGCATGCAGTTGAATAAAATCGCAATGGAAGCGTTTCTTCAACAAGAAATTGATTTTGGATAAACGTTTTACTGAATACGTTAGACAACACCTTTGTGTTGCAGTTGTATAGGTTCTCCAAACCAGTGTAAACAAGGGTTTTATAAAAGTTGTGGTGAACACATTGTGCAATTATTATTCAACATGCAGCTGAACAAAATCAAAACGAAAGCGTTTCTTCAACTGGAAATTGTTACTTGGGTAGTCAGTTGGCCGACTTTGGTTAAAACCAAATTGTTCCTATTAATGTACAATTCACAGCAAAAATTATATCTATGCATTCAAAGGCCATGCGATATCCGCAACCTACGACCCACCCGGTAGCTAGCAGCTAGTCTCCGTTGAGCCCTCATTTAGTTCGAATTTGTTTTCCCAACAGCGAGAATCGTTTGTTTTAAGTGCTCTTGTGTAGTGATACATTAAACAGCGATTATTTCAATGACCTGTGACTATCGTGTGAATTTACGCACGCGCTCTGCGCATTCACCATGCTCAACCAATGCTATTAAGATAAAGTATACTTGCGATCGGACGGCACGCGCTACACGCTTTCAATATTAATTATTTAAAATTATAAATACAGCCCAATTCTATCCCACCTTCTCCAGTACTGTCCGGTAGCTAAAAGTGCAAAGTTGAATCGGAATCGTGAGCGTGCAGCAGCATAATGATTGAACTGTTGATCGTTTTCTTCCTGTGCAGCTCTCTGGCGTACTATGTGAAATTCCGACGATCTCGGAAGCGCATGTACGAACTGGCTGCCAAAATTCCGGGCCCCTTCGATTTACCACTGATCGGCAGTTCATACATGGGTTACGGTTTAAACTCAACGCAAATCACCGAGTACCTGCTGCAATTCATGCACTCTATCCCGACGCCGATGCGGGGTTGGCTGGGACCGTTTCTCGTTGTCATCTTCGACAAACCAGAACACCTATCGGTGATACTGAACTCGCAGAGCTGCGTACAAAAGTCGCCATTGTACAAGTTTTTTCGCTTCGAAAAAGGTATCATATTCACCGAAAGAAATCTTTGGCGATTGCTGCGAAAGCGACTCAATCCCACCTTCTCGTCCCAAACGGTTCGAAGTTTTGTGCCTGTGTTTGATACAGAAGCAGATAGGATGGTTGATCAGTTAGATCAGTTCGTTGGAAAGGAGGCATTCGATATACTTCCGAAAACCTCAGTGTACACAATTTCCGCAACATTGACCAATTTAATGAAAGTCCACATGCACACCGATGATATCGAGTACAAGGAGGAGTTCGCCGATAATGCTGAAAAGTAAGAGTGAAGACTTTAATTTTTGCTTGATATGATAAGCAGTGGATTCTTTTTTCCAGAATGTGGATACTTCTATTTAGACGGATTTACAAACCGTGGCTGTTCCCGGAGTTCATCTATCGACTAACGCCAGAGTTCAAAAGGGAAAGCAAACGAATTGCCCAGCTACAGGATCTGTCTCGTGAAGTAAATTACTTACCATGTTCGTTTCGATCCTGATTCAGAACTGACCAAGTTTGATTTTTGTAGGTTTACGAAGCACGTCTGGCAACAAAACCAAACTTTTCGGAAAGTGGGAGCCCAAGTGAAGAGGTACTCATTGAACGGTTGGAACAAATGTTTTTCAAAACTGGAGAAATCGACCACGCTACAATGATGAATAATATCGATACGTTCCTGTTCGCTAGCAACGATACCACAACGAATGTCATAGCCAACAGCTTATTAATGATGGCCATGCATCCGGCCGTGCAAGAACGTGCCTACCAGGAAGTCTTGGAGATCGTACCTTCGGGTGCCATCACCGCAGAGGATCTATCCAAGCTGGTCTACCTGGAGATGGTGATCAAAGAAACAATGCGGCTCATCCCTGTTGCTCCAATAATCACGCGGACATGTGAGGAGGAACTTCAGGTGGACCAGTGGACCATACCAGCCGGTGCGATAGTTGCCATGCCGATTATGAAAATTCACCGAGACCGTTCGATTTGGGGTGAACGGTCGGAGGACTTCGATCCGGACAATTTTCTGCCGGAGAAATGTGCCCAACGGAATCCGTACGCGTATCTTCCTTTCAGCAGTGGGCTGCGCAACTGCATTGGCATGAGATACGCATGGGTGGCACTAAAGGTGGCCCTGGCCAAACTGATTAGGAGGTACAGGTTTTCTACGGATTTGAAAATGGAGGATATTAAATTCGAAGCGTCCCTAGTATTGCTACTATCTAATAAACACATGATGCGCATTGAGTGGAGGTAAATGATAGGTTGGAGCGTATACTTATTTCTTTGGATGACATACAGTAAAGACTCCATGTCTGTTAACAAATTCCGTAACGCAATTGGGGGAGAAGGGAGCTTGGAAATGTGTTAACAAATTTTACCGAAGAAAGGGTGCTCGGTTGATTTACGCGTCGCAATGACATTTTATGAAATTTTGCAAGAGAATCCACACGACCAATGAAATCAACCTAAATTTAAGTTCAATTTACTCATAAATCAGTGGAAGTGTATGAATTAAGCGATGAGTAAATAAGCCTCATGTGGAAAACCTCAAAAATCTGCCGAAAAATGAGGAAAATTGTCGAAGTAGTAGCAATAGACTGAGAGAATCCAATCTTTACTTTTCTCATATTCAGGATTTATTCCTGGAAAACGTGGAAAACATGAGGTAAATTTACTCATCGATAAGTTTCTGCACTTTTTGCGATTTATGAGTAAACAAAACTCATTGGTTGAGCTCATTGGTCATGCAAAGGCAAAAGACTGATTAAGCGAAGGAAAAGGAAAATCCAGAGTCGCTTGTATAATAAGAGTACCGCCAAGAGAAAATGTTGCGAACAAGCAGCACTATTTGTGATTTATTTTCCGTCAGAGTAAACGGCAACCAGATTTTTTGTGTTAGCATCGGATGACTTTCATTGAGAAATGAAAAATTTCATGTCCATAATGGAGCTTCTGGGAGACAAAAACGATTATAGAACCTGAAAAATGTTCAAACACGCAGTTAAGTTACCGGCCAACCGGCCGATATTAGTTGTAACTGACTCACACAGCGTGATATTGGCCCTAACAACAGAAACCCCGAAGCATCCGTGGATCCAAGGAACGGTAAAACACGCTCCGCCCAACACAGTATTCATGTGGGTACCCGGTCACTGGCTCAGGCCACACCGGACCCAGGTCCACTGGCAATGTACCGCTCCAAGATGTCAAAAAGTGGATCAAGCGGACGATTCGGAGAGCCTGGGACACCGAGTGGAGGAACAACAGGACACACCATCAAGGAGACCACCGGAACCTGGAAGGATCGACCAAACCTACGAGAACAGCGAGTGGTATCACCGGGCACAGCAGAGTCTCCCACAACTTCGGAGGAACACCGTTCCGGAGGACCTGCGAAGCCTGCGGAGTGCCAGCAACCGTGGAGTTGGAAGACCTTCGGCTTGGAGTCAATCAGCATTCGGAACCTTTGGGCGACGAGTCCCCGGCAGCAGCCGCCCTCATCACCTTCCTAAAGGAGGCGAACCTTTACCACAATACCTGAGTGTTCCTTGTTTGTATTTCCGTTTTGTTGGCCCGTTTGGCAGTTTTCTACACTTTTCATAATAGCAAGATAGATGTACCACAGCCAAGATTGGGAATCTCCTTCTTAGAACCCAATTTTTTTCTCCTTTTTCAATCTTAAGAGATGAACTAGCCATATGGCTAAAAGCTCTATAAAAAAGAAAAAAAAAATGTTCAACTTGGTATAACTTATAAATTCCACAATGTACTGAATAAAACGAAGAAATGTTGTTCATCTAAAATTACTAAAGTATTGTCAGTAATGAATGCAATACTTGTAGTTTACTGGTTGTGAGAACAATAATGTTTATTTACTTTGCTTCTTTGGTACCCCGCTTGACAGTTCGATTGGTACTTCTGGCTTCACTCTTCGCGGGACTCTTATTATAACATTGACTCTAGGAAAACCCTGAAAATGCCAGTCTTGCACTTGCGGATGTGAGGAAAACATCAGTTATGGCATAATCATTAGCAAATTGATCTTTTTCCACTCTCATGCGCTCTCAATATCACGCGTGATATTGGAGCAAAATATCATGCTTGTTATTGATTTCATAAGCTCCTTTGATATTGCAAGACTATTCACTAGAGTGGGTCATCGTTATATGGAAAAACGCCAACTTTACCTCACCAATCGAGAACAATCCTTTTTTGGTTCCATTTGGGGTCCCAAACAACTGTGCAAAATTTGGGGACGATTGGTTGTAATCGATTGGCTTTCCGTAATACGTTTGAAATTTGTATGGAAATTAGTATGGGAAAACCAATTTATATGCATTTTTATCCCGTGCAACTAAGTATGTTCCAATATAGTCCAGAAAGTGTCTAACAATTTTTCCAAAAGAAGGACGGTGCTAGAATGTATCTAAAAAAAAGTTATAACTATTCAAATATTTATGGTTTGAATTAAACACCAAAAATCCCATTTTCTGCCAACACTGCCGGTGTACCAATGGGAGTCAGATTCCAAACTGAAACGGAGTTTCTTATCTTACCGATTTGGGCCTATTATATGCAGTTTTTAAAATGTAAATATTTAATATCCACTTGTCCATTCAGTTGTTAGTGAGGAGATGTTGTTTGAATTATTAGCAGCTGGAAAATTTAAAATTTCTATGCAAAGCTTTTATTTGAAATATTAAACTGCCATTCGGGCCATCCGCATATAGAAAACACAGAAGTAGTCGTGCGTCAAAAACCAAAAACAGGAGAAAACGGAAACTGTCTTCACCAGTTTCGTCTCAGACACATGTACAGTCGGATTTCGCTTGTTGGGCTAACTTTAAGTGGGCTAAGTTTCAGTTGGGCTCCCAAGCCAAACGTAACTGCTAACAGTGCTGATTCCTTTTCGAAATTTCGACCGGCTTCATGCAAAAACCGGCAAACGAGTGGAGTAATGATACAGATTATTTCAATGCAATACAACGAGTTGCTTCCTTGATGGTTGTCAACGATATGGCTGAATGAGGTGTGAAACTAATTTCTGACTTATCAAGAAATTCACCCGAGACCTAGTTCAATTGTTCAACAGCAATATTTGCTTCAGGGGATAGAACAGCATCGAAAAGAGTACCTTGAGAAATCGTAGAATATATTAAAATGAAATATAATCATTACAATCCAATGACATTTGTGTGAATAAAACTAACATTGTATATTGCACCAAAAGAGTAGGAAAGGGAATGGGGGTACTCGCTTTCAAACTGATCTTATGAGATTGAGCAAATGTTTTTAAATAACCCATAAAAACAACTCGAGAGATGGGAAACTCCGAAGTTATTTTAGTCTTTATGCTTAGTTTCATTGATAAAGGTGAGGGGCGGAAAGGATACAGTAAGCCCGCCCCCCCATATCTAACTACGCCTATTAAATGGAGCACATGTTTTTGAATGCATCTGAACATACTAACTTGAAAAGATCAGAAACACCGAAGTTATTGCAGTTTGAAGTTTTACTTCCATTTATATGAGTGACGGAGGCGGGGTATAGTTAGCCCCCCAGCATCTCTTAATATGCCTGTGAGATTGAAAATTTGTTTTTGAATAATTCATCTCAACATACCAAATCAATAAGATAAGAAACTCCGAAGTTATTTCAGTTTGAAACTTTACTTCTATTGATACGGGTAAATTTGATAGGGATTTCAGTGTCCATTCTAAACATATACTGAGGAAGATTCGCAAGTAACCAAAAGTTCTGATAAAAGACTATTTGAGGCTTAAGCAGCTTGGTTGAAGGTGGTCTATAGAATTCTAACCAGCCTCATTTTTAAGTCGTTACAAGAACATGAAAGTTCCGGTACCATAATTCTAAGAGAGCCGCTTCTGGCAGAACTTGAACGACAACTTTAGAAAATAAGTTAAAAAAGGGAATTGTCCTCTACACCATTTTTATATTTAGTTCGCAATTTTATGAAAGTTAATTCTAAAGCCAGGTCTATATGAAAGTTATTTAGAAAGCCAGGTATGAACGTGAATGGATTTATCAGCATTAGTAGTAGTATTAGAGCTGTTTGCAGAATTAAACCCAGTCCTTCTGCGTGAGAGCCCCAGCACGAATTATATTTGTAAATCAATATTTTTCGAATTATTACTTAATTGAGCAACAAAAACAATATCGTAGCCCTACGCCAAAAAATCAGTCGTGCTTCGAACATAAGGGGTCACGCTTTAAGGTGTGAGGAGGGTGTAAGTTTTGGTGACAAGCAGTGCATTAAATATAGGATAAACGTGACAAAATGGGTAGGGGTTTTTAGTGTGGTTTAACTATTTTTATTTAAATGATGACTTGTGTAATTGTATCGGAATTTGGACAACTAAGAAGGGCCAGATCTCACCACAGGTATTTCATACAGGATCAGTTGACCATTTATATAGCTACAATGCAGCAAAGCAATCACGTTAACGAATGCATAAATGATACAGGCCTCGGCTCTCAAAATTTACAACTGTGGAAGTGCCTAAATATCGCGAAGGTGTGAGCAAGTGCCAAGCTCACTAGGGTATATCAGTTAACAAATAAATAATTATCACATCAGTATCCTGACCCCATAAAAGGTTTATGCCATTGTTCTTGTTAAAATGTATAATGCAAATTATTTCAACATACCTAGGCATTTCAACGAGCAATAAGCAATCTTTTCCCAGCTACTGAGTATATCGAATGGGTACAATGAATAACACTGAACAATGTTGAGTCTTCCAATAATGATGAGTTTACAGAATATAGCACACATGTTGGAAGCAGCGGGTTCGATTGCCAGCCCGATTGAAAAACTGGTTGGAAATCTTCTTGAGTTCCCTGGGCATAGTGATTGTCACATAGACCCATATAAAACGGTCAAATAGCTAGTTGAGGGTAGGCGTAAAGTTCCAGTTGGGCTGTGATATCCAAGAAGAAGTTTACTGAACAATTTCAGATGAACAGTTTTGTTCAGTTTGCCACATTTTCCCGCGATGAAAAAGTTAAATCAATCACAATGTTTCAGCTAACGTGCTTGGGCAAAGGTGATACACGGTCTATGATAGATTGCAACCTTGTATCCATCGCGCAGCTTCCTCGAACGAGCCCGCTAATTACGCTTGTTTGCGTGCGTATGGTGAGAACAATAATTCTCACCTGAATCGGTTTTTTTTTTTGATAAAATTTTGTGATCAAGTCACAATCATTGGCAATCTACAATCGAGAGTTGCCGTTACAAATACGAGGTAAAAGTTATAAATGCAACGTGCGACCATTGAGTTTGGCTTAGTGAAGTGTAGCATTTGGCACGGGATGCTTGTCGTTAGTCGGTAGATGTTAACATTGGTCAACTGCGCTCAAGATGGCCAATCACACGCTAATCTATCTCGCGGTGTTGCTCCTTGCATATTACTACTTCTTCCGTCGGTCACGAAAGAGGCTCTACGAACTGGCGGCCAAACTTCCGGGTCCTTTCGATTTGCCAATCATCGGAAGCATTCACATTGGCTTTGGCAGGGGACCTGAGGAGATTTGTGATTATCTGATGCAGTACATACACAAAATTCCATCCCTAATGCGCGGCTGGATTGGACCGTACTTATTCCTAGCCGTTTCGGATCCGGAGCATGTTGCCATGATTCTCAACTCGCAGGATTGCGTGAAAAAATCCTACGTCTACAAGTGTTTACGGTTTGATAAAAATTTGCTCAACGCACCACCGGATTTGTGGCGAAAACTACGTAAACAGCTCACTCCGGCCTTTTCGATGGGAGCTTCGCGGACATTCGTGCCCGTGTTCAACGAAAAGGCCGATACGTTAGTCGAGTCTTTGAGTGGGTCAGTGGGTCAAGAAAGCTTCGATGTACTTCCCGCCGTTGCAGGCTTTACGCTGTCGACGACGACGATCAATACACTGGGTTTGGATATTGACAACGAAACTGGCGACTACAAGGAACGTTACCACGAAAACGCAGAAAAGTAAGTAGGGGATTTCACTAGCCTAGCTTAGGAAACGACCGCACTTCTGCATGGATAGCTGCCATAAGTTGCTTAGGCGTTCACCTCTTTGTTCACTCTTTTGTCCACCTCAATTACTTGAGATATTAAGTGTGAGATCTTAACCAGATTAGCAAACGAACCTTAAATATTTGAGGTGAACAAAAGGGTGAACAAAGAGGTGAACGCCTAAGCTTTCTCACATCTATATAGCTGTGAAGCAACTGAAAATAGTTGAGAGAATCTATAACTGTGGCCAGTTCGTTTTGAATGCTAATCTGGTGAAGATGTCATATTTAATTATCTTAAAGATAAACCGTATGAGATAGAGCAAATTGTTTTTGAATAATTCATCTGATCCTACCAAATCCATAAGATAAGAAAATTCGAAATTATTTCAGTTTGGAATCTGACTTCCATTGGTTCACCGGCAGTGTTGGCAGACAAAGTGATATTTTTGCATTAAATTCAAACCATAAATATTTGTTCAGTTACTACTTTTTTAAAGACATTAAGGCACCTTACCTCTTTCGGCAAAAATATTAGGCACTTTTCGGACTATTTTTTAACATGATTAATTGCATGGTTCAAGCAAAATTGTGGTCCCTAGGAATGAAAATGCAATATACTAATTTCCATACAAATTTAAAACGCAATGCGGATCGCCGGGTTACAATTAATCGTCTCCTAATTTTGCACAGTTGTTTGGGACCTCAAATGGAACCAAAAAAGAGTTGTGCTCCGCTAGATGAGGTTAAGTTTGCGTTTTTCCATATAACGGTGATCCACCCTACTGTAGACCCATAAATTCCACTTTATCACCATAGTGTCTTCTGTGAAGTTATTGCTCATAAAAAGGTCTTCATTTTGATGAAAGCTGCAAACCTGGTCGGGTTAACGGTCCTATAGTTGCGGTACGTTAGAAGCGTTAGGTCTCTATAGTTGTGTATTGAGTGTCCATGCACAACTATCACGCTAAGATGCACATACCTAAAAGTCGTTAAAAAATACCTAGATATCGGTAAAAATTACCGATAATCGAAAAAAGTGCACATACCTAAATTATCGGTAATCATGGATTACCAATAATTAACGTTAAAAATGACCTAATTTATGGTAAAAAATACCTATATAAAGTAAAAAGTAACGATTTTTAACAGTTAAAAATACCGATAATTGTTTACCTATAATTTTAGGTAATCGTAGCTTAGAGTGATAGGAACCTAACACTTCTAACATACCGCAACTATAGGAGCGTTTCCCCTTCTAGAAATGACGAAACGAAAAAAAATTGCTTTCATATTCATGATTATAGCATATTGGGCCTTGCTTAGCTCAGACGATAAAGGCGTAGCTACAAAGCAAGACCATGCTGGGCTCGATTCCCGGTCCAGTTTTTGAATTTTTCGGTTTGGAAAATTTCTCGACTTTCGTACGTAGAGTATGATTGTACAGGCATCGAAAACGCTCTCAATTAATAACTGTAATGGCAGTACATCTAGAACACTAAGTTGAGAGCACGCAATAAGCTAATCTGCAATCAGCAATAAGCTATAAATGCGAAGAAGAAGAAGAAACATATTGTCACCTTGCACTAATTTGTAGATATCCTAATTTTAAACAACTCTGCGGAAGAAACTATCGTCGTTAAATTTATGTTAATTGTTCGATTGCAGTTTTTTTTTCTCTAATTTAAGATAGTCCTCAAAAAAATAGTTTTTTGAATATAGCTCTTTCATACAAACACTTGACTTTAACAACTTTTTACAACTCAGTAGCTCTTTGTTAATCTTTTTTTTTAAATTACGATCAATTTTCTAAAAAGAAATGCTATTTTCAACTATTGAGATCGCGGAATAGTGTTAAATACTTACATATAGGGTAAACGCTCCTATAGTTGCGGTACGTTAGAAGCGTTAGGTTCCTATAGTTGTGTATTGAGTCTCCATACACAAGTATAGGAACCTAACGCTTCTAACGTACCGCTACTATAGGAGCGTTTACCCTACATATATTTATGCCAAAAACACTGCACAGCAAAAAAATAATTTTGATATCACATCAAAGTGGATGCACTACGATCATGTCGAAAATTTCATGTAATTTTTATGACCACATAAATAAACAAATGCAGTAAAAGCAGCGTAATGTCAGTTCATGCATTGTATTAATGATAATTTTGTCCTTTTTAGCAAGTAATATTACACCATATTTTCGACATGATTGTAGTGCATCCACTGTGACGTGATATCAAAATTATTTTTTTGCTGTGTGGTCCAGGATTTAAAATAGGAGAAATTGCATATTTTTACTCTTAAATTATCACTTTATCACCATAGTGTCTTCTGTAAATGTGTTGCTTTTAAAAAGGTATTACTTTTGATGAAAGCTGCTAAAAGGGTGGACCTAAAACGGACGAAATAAAAAATAAGCTTTCCTCTTTTTGATTATAGCATACACAGCAAAAAATAAATTTTAATATTACATCCAAGAGGATGCACTTCACTCACGTCAAAAATCTCATGTAATTTTTATGGCCACAAAAATAAACAAATGCAGTAAAAGCAGCGTAATTTCAGTTCATGCACTGTATTAATGATAGTTTTGTCCTTTTTGGCTAGTAATATTACACCATATTTTCGACACGATTGAAGTGCATACACTATGATATGATATTAAAATAATTTTTTTGCTGTGTATCAGCCATTTTATAGCAAAACGATATATTGTGTGTGGCAGGATAATTTCTCAAAAAGGGATTATACCGCCTGTTTTCTGTTTCTGTTTCTGTACGACTGCGCCTATTGAGTTAACACACGGCGGCTCTTTATCCAGGATTCGCTCCTCAAGCCGCTGCCATAAAATACTATCAAAGTTACACACCTGTGTATAATCCATATGGGCAGGGTTGCAGCGCGCTTATGAGCGGCGGCGCTTCGACCGTCATTAAATGAGAATTTAACATAAGCGCGACAATAGCCACAAACGAAGTGACAGACGGAGCGGCTCGAAAACTTTGGTGACTAACCTGCTATTTCAATTTTTCAGTGTACCACATGGCAACACCACTACCACTGGATTGTACCACATGGCAACACTACTACTGGATTGTACTAGCATTTTCACCAAATGTATTAGAATGTTTTGGTTCTATCTCTTTCACTCTACTCAAAACTGAAATGCATAAAAAAATGACAAAATGATACACTCTTTGCACACTGTCAAAGAATCATTGTACACAAAATCAACTTTGTTCAAATCAAAACAAAAAAAACTAACCCATCTGGTAGATGATGGCACAAACTTCCAAGAAAATTCTATTACAGTGAACCACAATATTTTAATGGATTTCTTCGCCAGTTAGTCGTCTGTCACTTCGTTTGTGGTTCTACGGTGGCCATATGACTCTATGCTTGCCGTTTTGAGTGCTCATATTTCGTCGAGTAGATGTGATTTGATATGTCGCTTGATATGGTTATGATAGATAATAAATTTGACCATATGGGACCATAATCCGGGACATCCGGAACAGATTTCATTGTAGGCATGGGGTCTTATGATTGTTCTCTATCATTCCGGGAGTTCCTCGAAAAAAGTCAATATGTTGTTGCACCCCCGTTTCAACACATTCTTGAATATATAATAAAGAGGAAGGGTCTGGGGAGTAGTACCATAAAAATTTTTTTTTTTTTTGTTCATTTTTACAATTCGATTTAAAATTAAAGATCTTTTAAAATTTGATTCCATGCCCTTAAACAATTCTACACAATTATAATAATTAATCTTACATCGAAAAAAACACCCCTTATGCTTTCAGAATGTTTACGATTCGATGGTCCAGAATCTACAAACCATGGCTGCACCCAGATTGGGTATTCAAATTTACGTCCGCTTACCGCGAAGAGCAGCAAAGGCTGATCATGTTTCAAGAGATGTCCTCTAAGGTTTGCTACGAATGGCTAACTACTCCAAAATTCACTGATTCAATTCTCATTTCGACAGATGTGCACAATAAGAAAGGAAACACGGCTTCAAAATCCTAACAACGCGTCCGAGCGAGATGATGACAACGTTCGTCGGCCTCAACGCTTCATCGATCAGCTGGAAAAGATGAACCTGGAGCAAATGGATATGGTTGATAATCTGGATAGTATCATATTCGCTGGTAACGATACAACGGCTACCATGATCTCATCCGCGATTCTACTGATGGCCATGCATCAGGAAGTGCAGAATCGTGCCTATCAGGAAGTGATAGATACCACACCGCATGAGTACATTGACTATGGGGACTTGTCCAAATTGGAGTACCTGGAGATGGTGATGAAGGAATCCATGCGATTACTGCCCGTGGCCCCGGCAATTGCCCGGGTATGCGAGAAGGATATCCAACTGGGTGAATTCACCGTTCCAGCCAACACTCAGCTGATAATACCCATAATGAAGGTCCACCGGGACAGACAGATATGGGGCGAACGGTCCGATGAGTTCGATCCGGAACACTTCTCACCGGAAAACTGCGCCAAACGACATCCGTATGCATATCTGGCATACAGCGGTGGCATCAGAAATTGCATCGGCATGAAATACGCTTCTATTGCGATGAAGATCTTGCTAGCTAAACTGCTCAAAAGCTACAAGTTTTCCACTGATCTTAAACTGTCGGAACTGAAACCCTACGCTTCGATTGTAATGAAACTGACCAACGGCTATATGGTCAGCATAGAGCGACGAACGCGATAAAGATAAATCTTCGATCTCAGCCGACTGGTTGTGAATAAATTTGCTAACGGTTATTATATGTCTACTGTGGAAGCACGCAACTCATGGAAATGTAACAAGCAGTGCATTATAATTGATGTAAACGCAATGCCTTAGATGGGCGGAGACTTGCTGTTGTAGCGCAATGTACCGCACTATTTTCATTAGTCATTCAAATGTGATAGAAATGTCAAAACTTTTCAAATTACTATCATTAACCGCTATTGTTTAAAATCTCGCAAAATTAAACAGAAATGCATAAAACTAATAGCATCAAACATACTTTTCAATCAGTTAGAGATGTATCACATAATCGTACAAATCGTTCTGTTCTGCGTTGCATTCTACATTACTCACTGTTGGCGCAACCGTTACATCCTCCGGCAGCTATGGCATCTACCTGGTCCTCCAAACCTCCCGTTGCTAGGTTCGAGCTACATCTTTCTGGGCAAAAGCTATTCCCAAATATTCCACGCATTTCACCAAATTACCACCAAATATGGACGCAACGGAAGCCCTGTCCGATTCTTCCTGGGTCCAATGCCATTTGTAATCATAAATAACCCGGATCACGCTCAAGCCATTTTGACCTCGGCCGCCTGTCTGGATAAGCCATGGATCTATCGGTACACTCCTTTGGACGGAATATTTTCGCTCCCAGTTCAAAAATGGCGCTTTCACAGAAAAGCCATCCAACCAAGCTTCAATTGGGCCATTTTGAAGGGTTTCATCCCGATTTTCAAAGCCAAAGCGGATGTCCTGGTGCAAAAACTGAGACAGCAAGCTTCCAAAAGCGAAGTGTTTGACATCTATGGATACGTCGCGGCTTGTACGTTGGATATGGTGTATGGTGAGTATGGCCTTAGGTCATCCTAATCCAAAAGCATTTAACTAAAATCCGTTTCGAATCAACAGCGACTACCCTCGGAATAGAAATGAACATCCAGCAGCAGACGACCTGTGAATACCTTGATGTGCTGGAAGAACTGTTCGAACTGGTAACTAATCGCGTAACCAACGTTTTTCTCCATCCAGAATGGATCTACCGACTGACCCGCTATCACAGACGGGAGTCCCACGTACGCAGGATTTTTCGAACACCTGCTCAGGAAGTGCTCCGACAGAAACCGATCCTCCTGAACGCATCCGGGCCTGATACAAACTCCATGAAACCTCAAATTTTCATCGAACAACTATACCGAATCGCTAGGAAAGACCCTCGCTTCGATAAGAATGCGATCGAGAAAGAGCTGAACACGATGATTTTCGGGGGTAACGAAACAACAGCCGTAACAATGGCAAATACATTGCTTCTCATAGCAATGCATCCCGCCGTTCAACGTAAGCTGGTTGCCGAAATCGATGAAGTTTTCGGTGACTGCTTGGAGGACATAACCATTGAACAGCTACAACAGCTGACCTATATGGAAGCGGTGCTGAAGGAAGCCATGCGACTGTGGCCGATTACAACGATTCTCGGGAGGAAAACTAGCTCCGAGGTGCACCTGAATGAACTGATAATCCCAGCCGGTGTAAACTTGGTCGTAGATGTTTTCAGCATCCATCGAAATTCACAGTTCTGGGGTGCCAATGCAGATCACTTTGATCCGGATAGGTTTCTTGATGGTAATCACCATCCGTACGCGTTTCTAGGATTCAGTGCAGGTCCACGAAACTGCATCGGAACACGTTACGCCTGGATTTCGATGAAAATTATGCTGGCGAGTGTGCTGCACGGTTTGGAACTGGCTACGCCACTTCGGCTGGAGGATATTGACTTGAAGCTGGCCATGACGTTGAAGGTTGTGAACAAACATATGGTCACTGTTAGCGAAAGACACGGGAAATTGTAGGTGTAGCTACGAAAGAACCAGGCTCGCTACGGATAATTAGCTAAATTCATCTGCCTGGGCAGATGTTTGGATGTCCGCATGTGGCCTTGTATGAATACAATGTATGTCATATTCACTTGTATATACTAGCCTGATTGTAATGTTCATCTATCACCTTCTAAAGCTTAAGTTTTCTAAGACAAGCTTAGTTTAATATTCTGTTTTTAAACGCTCCGCTTTTGCTCCTTTGCGTTCTTGAAATGTATATAAATGGATGTGAAAAATTTGTCATACAAATTTGAAAGTTATTAAGGATGGGTTAAGAGAACATGTCAAAGATCAAATAAAGTACCTTACTTTTAACGTGCTGCTCCCAGCACCGATGGAACCCTCGTTGTACAAGTCTCATTATCGTCATACGCTTAAGGCAATCTCTCGAATGGAAACAGTCTGTTAAGTAAACTCCAACTGTCGATAAATGCCCTGGACAGCCACCTTAGCATTACTATCCTATACCTTGCATGTTTATATTGTCATTGTTCTTCAGGGACGTTTCGTCTGAAACTGGCGACGTTTCTATTCTCTACTTCCGCTGGTCCCACTTCTCTCTTTGGGTTTGGGGCTAACCTTGTTTAGGACTTCTTCTCTCTTCACTCCGAATCGTCTGCGGACGATGGGCATCAATTTAGTAATCCAGCTGGATCAGATGCTGGAGATCCTTCAATTCCACGATCACCTTGGAACGTTAATGTTGCCGTATGTCCTAGTAATGTCGCATTAATGGTCCTTCGCTAATTTTCAACTTCTATTCAATTTTCTTACTGCCGTACGGCCGTACTCTAGCGGAACTGTCTATCTACCCTCTTCAGACCTTTCTCTAGCTAATAAATTATCACACTATAGCTTCATGTTAGATAGCATTTCCAGCATAGTATGAAGTAACATAAAACACTTTGAATGTAACAACAACCTGATCTTTGTTTGAGTTTCCAAATCTATAGATAATATTTGTTTCGAAGATCTTCCAAGTGAAAAAACCGTCTACGAAGGTGAAAAACTAGTCTGAGGGTGCACCCTCCAGCAGCATGTGAATATATCGATTCAGAAACCCCGTTCCCGCTCGGCTAACTTTTTGGCCTTGTAAAGGAAGTTTCCCGAATAGAAATTGTAATGTAGGAAACATCAGCAGACATCTTCAATACATTAAATTTTAACGTATATTGCTGTACCCTTAATGTATTCAGACTTCAGTGTGACGTCCAAGTACATAAAAATACATTAGCCTCAAACGTTACATCAGAATCAAACGTCTTGACGATGTAAAATTTGACATCAGAATACATCCAACGACAACAGAACCTAACGTTACATTAGAATCAAACTTCATCACGATGTAATTTGTTGCACGCATAAAACATCAGAATACATCCAATGACAACAGAACCTAACGTTACATTAGAATCAAACTTCATTACGATGTAATTTGTTGCACGCATAAAACATCAGAATACATCCAATGACATCAGAACCTAACGTTACATTAGAATCAAACTTCATCACGATGTAATTTGTTGCACGCATAAAACATCAGAATACATCCAATGACATCAGAACCTAACGTTACATTAGAATCAAACTTCATCACGATGTAATTTGTTGCACGCATAAAACATCAGAATACATCCAATGACAACAGAACCAAACGATACATTAGAATCAAACTTCATCACGATGTAAATTGTTGCACGCATAAAACATTACACGGTAAGAAAAAAGTACCCAACGGAAAGTTCACTTTTACCTACTATTGACTAGTTTGTCTCCTTTTCTCCTTCTAATGTTGTCAAAAACGGAGGAGCAAAACCACCCAACAGGGGTAGTAAAGTGTGGGAACCCAACGTTGAGTATAATCATATTTACCTACTGTTGGGTACAACTAACTTACTTTTGGTTAAAAAGCCAGTGGAAAATTCCATACGAACTGCACACAAGTAAATGAAAATTACTTTGACCCGCTTTACCTACTTTTGGGTTCCTGCACTATAGTGCCGAGATGAGTGAAAAGAACTTAATTTTGGGTACTTTTTTCTAACAGTGTAGAATACATCCTATGACACAACAATAAAAAGTGGCTTGCAGTGCAGTGATGCCTCCTATGCATAGTTTTGTGACATTATCAATTGCAAATAAAATTGAACTCTTTAGAAGAGTGGAAACGCTAATAAAAGTGCACTTAGACGTTGTATCGTCTTGACGCCTTCTGCGCACTTATTCTTCATTCACCAAGGAATAAGTGCGATGAAGACACAACAACAATTTAATGTAAAACCGCACTTTTATTAGTGTTTCCGCATTCCTAATCTCATAAATGTGCCCAATGCGCGATCCTCGACGCAATCATATAAAATAGCACATTGCGATTACAAGGTAGAGCTTACCACCATTAACTCTTGCACGACTGACATAGCCTCAAATCACTGAAAGAAGTTTTGGTATGCCCTGTGGGCAATGTTTATTTGTATGTAAAACAATGCCCTGGTGACGTTACAGTGCAAGAGTTAATTAGTGTTTTAATTGATTATTATCGTTTCAATTGAAAACCGATTTTACTCTTGTTCTGTACGTTAAACATAACGTCGGCCATAGTGTGCTGTATACCGCATCCGTGTACGAATACAGCACACTATGTCCGACGTTATGTTTAACGTAGGGGAAATGTTGGCTTCGGCAATACCTTAACCTATTATCGTCAGGGGGGTAAACAAAGTCCTAGACCACTCAAATTTGGCCAATAGTTGTTCTGAAACACAATGTATCCACATGCGAAAATTTAGCTCTCAAGGACGTTGTTTACCCCCCTGACGATAATAGGTTAAGGTATTGCCGAAGCCAACTTTTCCCCTATATACAGAACGTTTTCAACGAGGTTTTCATTTGAAACGATAATATTAATTCCAAGGCAAACGAAGAAAACCATCTGGCCACCCTGCATGCATATGGTTATAGTCCATTCTATGCGCTCGAGTATTGATGGTGCGAATGTGAGGATAACAATAACAAACCAGCATATCTGGCTGAAGCGAAAGTGAGGATAACAAACTTCGCACTTGAAAATGGGATTGCGCAAGTGTGCGTGTTATGAACGACAGAAAGGTCAATGTCGTTCTCATTTTTGAAGTAAAGCTCTATACATCGCTGCTGCATTAGCGTATACTAAAATTATTCAGGGTGTACGTGTCAGATGAACGTTCCATTACAAACCACTGATGTTGACCTGTCAATGACTCGCGTTATTCGGCGTTTATTAGCTGAATCGCAAAAAGAAAACTAGAGTCCCTGAGGCCCTCGGCGCATGCAAAGTTTGTTTTGTCTTGAGTCAGCACTACACGGCGAATGAGAACGACCCAAATTTGTGTTTAGTTCACTCATAAATCGCAAAAAGTACAGGAACTCAGTTTTGAGTTAATTTCCCTCTGTTTTTTCAGAATTTCCAGGTTTCTCCAGGAAATTTTGTCTGAATATTAGAAAAGTAAAGATTGGATTCTGTGGATTTTCGTCAATCCTAATTTTCCGGAAGATTTTTGAGGTTTTCCACAGGAAAACGTGAGGCAAATCTCGAGGCAAATTTACTCATCGCTGCGTTCCTGCACTTTTTGCGATTTTGATTACACTGTATTCAAATTTGGGTTGATCGCATTGGCCGTGTACAGTTTGTTTTCGCGGTGTTATAAGATCGATTTCGATCGAATTAGTCCGGGAAAGTGCCGATGTGTCCGTCGCGAGTTTTGGTGGGCGATTCGGTGTCCGACGTTGCGGTAAATCAGCAAGTTTTCCGCTTGCTGGCTGCTGGTCTCTGCCTAGGAAAAGGAAGGCTGTTTTTCAGGTATGAGGACTGTTTTTCAGGTGAATTAATGGAATGTAATTATGTTTTTTTTTTTAGGAAAGTGCACCAGTACGAAGTCGGATACCGGAAGCGAGTCCGAAGCTGGATCCCGGTGGGGAGTTCGAAGCCGGCTCTCTGCAGGTTAGTGAATGTGTTTACTGTTTTGTTTTGTTTTGATTGACGAATAAATAAATAAATAGGGGGAGGATGGTCATAGTGAACAGGTGGGGCATAGTGAGCATCCCGCAGTTTGGCTTTCGATCTCCAGCTGCATGAAACAAATCAACTGATAGTAGGTTCAATATCATTATGATATTGATCCTACCACCAACCATTTTTTTCCGAACGGCCGGAAGTTCAAGCTGGTGCACGGGATGCTCACTATGCCCCTCTTACCCCTACTAATAGCTAAAATAAAGTGGAAGTGACCACGATGGAAATCCGATGACGGATTCCATTGACGGATCCCGATGACGGGTTCCGTAGGCGGATCCCGATGACGGGTTCCGTAGGCGGATCCCGATAACGGGTTCCGTAGACGGATCCCGATGACGGGTTCCATAGACATCCCGATGGGGAAACCGAACACGGATCCCGATGGGAAAACCGAATACGAGTCCCGATTGGGATTCCGTAAAAGGATCCCGATGGGAAAACTGAATACGGATCCTCCCGATGGAGAAACCGAATACGAATCCCGATGGGGAACCCGAATACGGATCCCGATGGAGAAACCGAATACGGGTCTTGATGGGGAAACCGAATACGGATCCCGATGGGGAAACCGAATACGGGTCCCAATGGGGAAACCGAATACGGATCCCGATGGGGATTCCGTAGACGGATCCCGATGGGGATACAGAATACGGATCCCGATGGGGAAACCGAATCTGGATCCCGATGGGGAAACCGAATACGTATCCTGATGGGGAAACAGAATACGGATCCCGATGAGGAAACCGAATACGTATCCCGATGGGGAAACCGAATACGTATCCTGATGGGGAAACCGAATACGGATCCCGATGGGGAAACCGAATACGTATCCTGATGGGGAAACAGAATACGGATCCCGATGGGGAAACCGAATCCGGATCCCGATGGAGAAACCGAATACGTATCCTGATGGGGAAACCGAATACGGATCCCGATGGGGAAACCGAATACGTATCCTGATGGGAAAACCGAATACGGGTCCCCATTTAGTTTATTTGTAGCTATAGGTAATATTGGAAGTTGTTATTTCAACTAATACAGATATAAATCAGATCTTCGATGTTTGCTTACAAGTGAATTTTAGGGAAGAAAGAAAACTCAATAAGTAATGATAGGATGAGGCTGAACAGAAACTTTTTGATTGTGTATAGTGGGAGTTCGGATTGTTATGCAACTATCTGTATCTGGTAGGGGGATATTATAGCTTCTCACTGGTATCAGCTTGAGTTGGGTTTGATTATATCAGAATATACCCTGCATTATTATTTGTGTCGATAAGCATACATTGCATGGGGGAAATTTGTTTAATTTCAAATAGATACTGGTTGAAAACATCGAGAAAAAAATTTAAAAACTTCATAAGATTAATTAAAATTTTGAAATTTTTGGAAAGTATACATATGCTTACATACACACTTAATATAGCTCGGTAAAATCTCCAACAGCCGATTACCTCGGCATTTACTTTTGCTGACATCTCTGCAAAATATCTGTTTGTTAGCTGATATCTCAGCAAAATCATATTTGTTTGCTGAGTCTCGGCAATTGTTTTACTGAATTTCAGCAAAATAAATTACAGAACTACTTGGCTGTTGGAATCTCGGCGAAAAAATTTAAGTGTGAGCTTACATGCTTACATAGGGCTGCAGATAGCAGTGGTGGGGGAGACTTGGTGACTAATCCGATGAAACTGTCACTTCTTGAAGCTAATCTTTTTCGTATGTATTTCCTTCATTCTCTTTTCGCACTTTGTATATGACACCATGTATGTACATTGATATCTAAATTGATTCAATGATGTGCGGAGAGCTCATTCCGAATGATCAGTGGACCACCCTCATCCCAGATGACCATGGCAATGCAAGAAAATTTGTTTTCATTGGAGGAAGTATCACAACACAGGTAATTGCTATTAAATATTTTTGCAGACAGTGACAGATGGTGAACATGACGATCCAGTTAAGCTGTTATATCATAGACAAATGGTAAGTTCCAAATTCACTGTTGTCGCTGTTGCCAGTCCCTAATAAACAAATACCATAAACGAACTGTATCCCGGATGGGTAAACTATCCCACAAATGGTTTGGATGATACCCCGAACACGTCGTAAATTAATTAACCATCAATCGCAGAAACTATACGAATTATCGCGTATCTCTGTTGTTCATTACATGCCAAGTTAAAAAATAATCATATATTGTCGTGGAATGTTGTGGTTTTAAGATGCTCGATGACCCTGGAGGGATCGTTTTGGCTTACCGAGCAGAAAATCATAGGTTTGAACCCAAGCCCTCCCACAACAGAATAAACCGCCATCGCTAATCTAAAGCGCCGTAAAAATAAAAAAAATTATATGTATGTTTAAATAATTTTTAATTTTTAATATAAATAAATATTCTGTATTAATTAACAACAAAATATTTCATGTTTACAAATGTAATCGCACTGATTTATCATAGTTCATGTGAACCAAAATTTATGAAATTTTGGATTTAGGTTCCATTTGAAAACCATTTTTTCAACCTATTAATATTGGATTCAGAGAGCCGCAATAATGGCTGTAAGCTCCAACTCGGATTAACTTTTAATACCGTCCCTGTTTGGATGATCTGCGAAGTGTTTACATAGCATCGTGTTGAATAACTCTGATGTCGACATCAAAGCAGCCGGATATTCTTGATCGGGATTTAATCCGAGGATAATACCGATTGGAGCTAACAGCCATAAGTGATTTAATGAATTCGCTGATTGCGACTCTCTGAAAACTAAATGCACAGGTTTCATACGTCCAACTCATCCTTTGCAACGTCCTCTTGTAACTTAAAAATACAAAATGTCATCATAACCTATAATACTTCATAATTCCGAAAAAACATGTTTCCGCCCTAATAAAAAATAACCATAAACGAACGATAACCCAAATCATTGAACTATTCCATAAATGGTTTGGATGATACCCAGAACACGTCGTTAAGCAAATTAACCATACAATTTTTATTAGGGCGGGCGGAATAAGTTTCATCAAGCCTTATGATGGTACACAAGATGGGTCACAAGTTTATATAAAATTTAAAGTGTGGTTCGCAATCAGGGAAAGACTGAGATTTAAGAATTCTAATGTAAATTTTTCATAAATAATGCCAATTTAGAATTCTGTACTATCTAATAACTATTTCTTCGAACTTTTAGGCAGTTTGGATAACAATTTAACCAACGTATAAGATACTTACTTTACTTTTGCTGGTCCGACGTCCCTCGGAACCTAACCTGTTTAACAAAGTTGCACCAACTAACTCGGTCCCTGGCTGCTTGTCTCCAATTTCTCGAGCGTCCCACACTTCCTACATCTTGCTCCACTTGGTCTAACCACTTAGCACGCTGTGCTTCTCTGCGTCTTGTACCGGCCGGATTTGAGGAAAACACCATTTTTGCGGGATTGTTGTCCGGCATTCTTACAACGTGTCCCGCCCATTGTACCCTTCCACCTTTAGCGACTTTCTGGATATTGGGTTCACCATAAAGTTACGCCAGTTCGCGGTTCTTCTCCTCCATACACCATTTTCATATACCCTGCCAAAGATGGTCCTAAGCACGCGTCGTTCGAAAACTCCCAGTGCTCCTCGAGCATTGTCCATTGTCATATTTTTCATGCACAATAATTTTGTTTATTATATTTTTGCAGTTCGTCAATAAGGTAGAAGACTGGCAGCCCAAAACTTTCCGTGGATCATCTGTGGAATCATCTTTCATTTCTCGCATCTACTTGCATCGTGCGTCATCTTTAACCAGGAAATCTTCAAAATCGGCATAAATCTTCCTTCTATCTACTCAGCGTGCGTACAGCTAGCCACAGCAAAACACAATCTTTTCTGCATCGTAGATAGAGTCGTCCCCCTCGCTCAAAAATGCTATAACAATCGCCAAGCTCGCTGTAATGTCACCAAGTGCCTCGTCACTCGCCTCGTCACCCACGAATAGGCGCCTATGTCAGTGGTCTAACAACTCTTAGCGCGCTAATGGCATAGTTCCCCTGCCGCATAGAGAGTTGCCACAATGATATTAGGTTAGCTAAGGTCAGTTAACTGACTGGTGGGAAACGGGAGCTTAAGCAATGGCTATTCTGTATGCATTTAAGAGATAGTCTACCAGAATGGATGATTTTTTTTTTGTACTTTTTTATGTTTTCTGATGGTTTCGGTTATGCAAAACATGAGAATTAACTTTTCCAATGCTTTCAATTGTACAAAGCATTAGAGCTAGAAACATGATCTTGTAAACACTACACACCTTAACTGTTAGTTTGATTAAAAAATGCTGCAACAATCGTCAAGCTCGCTGTAATGTCACCAAGTGCCTCGTCACCTACAAATTGGCGCCTATGTCAGTGGTCTAATAACTCTTAGCGCGCTAATGGCATAGTTCCCCTGCCGCATAGAGAGTTGCCGCAATGACATTAGGTTAGCTAAGGTCAGTTAACTGACTGGTGGGAAACGGGAGCTTCAGCATTGACTGTTATGTACGCATTTTTATGATGTAATCTAACAACAATCGTGTGTAGTGTTTACACGATCATGTTTTTAATTCTAATGTGTTGTAAATATAATTGAAAGCATTTGAAAAGTAAGATTCTAGTGTTTGTACTTCTTAAAACATAAGTAAACATCTACATTTGAAAACATTCAAACAACGTTTACTTTAAACGTTTTGTACATCTGAAAACATCAGAGAACAACAAACAGGAAGTACAATTGAAAACATCCGAACAATGTTTAGTGCTAACGTTGTGTACATCCGAAAACATCCAAAAAACGTTTGGTTCTAGCATCGGGAAACATCTACATAAGAAAACATTAGAATACATTTACATATAAAAACATCCGAACAACGTTTAGTTCTAACGTTTTTTACATCCGAAAACATCCAAAAACGTTTGGTTCTAACATCAGGAAACTTCTACATTAAAAAACATCAGAAAACATTTACATATAAAAACATTTAAACAACGTTTAGTTGTAACGTTTTTTACATCCGAGAACATCCGAAAACGTTTAGTTCTAACATCGGGAAACATCTACATTAGAAAACATCAGAAAACGTTTACATATAAAAACATCCGAACAACGTTTAGTTCTAACGTAATGTACATCAGAAAACATCCTTAAAACGTTTGGTTCTAATGTCAAGAGATTGAAATTTTTGACGTCAGACCGACATTAGAATGGCAAAATTTTGTTCCAAAATTTCTGATGTATACACTATGTTACGTTGCTTAAATACAACTAAATCATAATGTTTTCAAATGTTTGACATCAGGCATACATTTGATTTCGATGCTGATGTAGACATCAAAATCAAACGTTGGGCTAATGTAAATTTCTATTCGGGTTTCGATAGGTATCGACCTTGGCTCGCCTGTGGACCGTAACTTCCACTTATCCATTCGGTTCAAGCCTGCGTACCGTTCCCGATACCTCCGAATAACGCGTTGAGACACTTCATCTCTTCTGTCGTATACCTTACCATTGCTAGGATTTCGCCTACCTTAGGCGTTAATGGTCTTCGATAGCGATCGTTCTCGTCTGACTTAATTCTAGCACCACTTCCTCCTATCTACATAACAAATAGTAGGGTTCCTCTTGAATGCATCCGGGAGTACCTTGCAGACCTATCCTGTGTGTACTCATCCTTTCCGGGTTTACTGGTCCCATTTTCTTCGTTGCTCTTGAACAGTCTATTCATCAAATAACTCATCATCACCTTCACCTCATCACATTCTTGACATGAGATCACAAACCATTATTGTTGCTGTAACTCTCTTCTCTATCTTATATTCTTCTCTAGACAGATGGTTTCCTCCTTTTACTCTTCTGATAACCGTTTGAATCTTCAGAAGTGCCCTCCAGATCTCCCTCAACGCGACAGAAGTTTCGTCAATATGTTCATGTCAATATTATCAACAATATGTTCGAGGGGTCATCAATACACAGTCGCTCCCCACTAACATTGTTTTAGCTGCTGGCATATTCCGAGTCAAATCACAACCACCTTGACAAAAGATGACAAAGAACAGGCACCATCTGCTACTGTAGTCAAACAGAAGGAGAAAATGAGGGGAAATATTGAAACATGAAATCAAACTTTTCTAATTTTACGTCAATATGTTCATCAATATTTTCGTCGTCAATATTTGTATCAATATGATTGTCAATACTTTTGCCCGTGTGCTTGCTTGCTTTTTGATTTTGCTTCAATATACTCATCCATATATTCGTCGTCAATATTTGCATCAATATGATTGTCAATACTTTTGTGTATTAACATTATTTTTGACCCTGCACACCAAATTTAAATCGCTGAAAATCAGCAAAATTTTGCTGATTTTAGACTTGATGAAACATCAGTAAAACATGCTGCTGAATTTTTCAGCATCCCCAACTTCTGTCAAAATGACAACCTTTTACTGAAAATCAGCAATGTTTCTTTACTGATCTTTCAGGAATTCAAAATTCTGACATTTGGCAGCATTTTGCTGATTTAACTATTAAATCAGTAAATTGAATTTGTTTTCACTATATGAGCTTCTGTAAAAGATCGTTGATACAAATATACGAATAATAAAGATAAAATCGCCAGACTCTTTTCCAAGTATCATTTATTTAACCAGTGTCCGAGCCAGTGTCGTTACCTACATAATTACCTCTTCCTCCTCCTGCGGTTTGACCGGTGGTGTACGAATGCAAAAAATTCTTGCGACTGTGATGCTAACAGTTTGACAGTTCTTTGACTGGGTGGTAGTTTATGTTTGCTGTTTTTTAGTAAAGCATTGGATTGCTGATCATGATCCAGTAATTCGTTTTACTGATAATAAAAACTTAAATTTGGTGTGATGTGGTGCTTGCTTACGTCTTGCTTTAGGTAACGTATAACAGCAAATCAAAATTCAACGGCTGTTTTGAAGTTACCACAAACCTTAAGTTCAGAAGTTTATTCACCAAAAGCACAAATTTGTGACCAAAACTGGCATGGCAGCAAAATGATTCATTTTTCAAAAGGTTGTAATTTCCTTCGTTATCAAAATGTGATCAAACCATTGAACAAATCTTACATTAAGAATGCCGAAACGAATTTTTGTTTTCTTGTTTGGGTCCTACGTGCATTGAAAACCAAAATGCTACCTATCGCTGCAATAGAAACTAGATCAAATCAAAATGTAATTTTATGCTAAATATCATGATGGCACGTGTTACTCCATTTCTCTGATCCAAAGATTTCATATAATCATGTTTGATAAATAGGTTGCAATATTCTGTACAATGGTTTAGATCATTTCCCCTCTCTGAGCAGGATAGACCTGACATTGGACTAAATAACCCCAAAGCTTTGTTCGTTCGCCCTTCTAAGCTAGTGTTTATTATTCATTTCCATCATCCATCTTCTCTATTTTCGATATCACGTCCTCGGGAATTTCCAAGGCCTTCAGATTGTCCTCGCCAATTTCGTCTTCAGTCCTGAAAAGATGCAAACGACAGTCAGTTAACAAGCAAATTTCCCAAATACAATCAAACCCCTATTACCTGATTAGTATGTCCACAACATTTTCACATGTCGCCAGTAACCGCTTCTCCCCCTCCGGACTACACTCGAACTTGTGTAACTCCCGCAAGACCTCGTATGTGCCCCGGTCCCTCAGATATTCCCGTCCCTTCCGGGTAGCGCACAGCTGAGCCAACGATTCCAGAAGCATTTTTCTGATGTCCGGATCTTCCTCACGTGACTTATCCGGTCCCAAATATTGCAACTCAACCGGCAGTTTATCGTTTGTATCGTCGTCAAATTCCTCTGGCCCTGCCAGTGGCAGTAGAATGTACGGCAAAACATCCACTTCACCGCTCAGCAACCAATCGTGGACGGTTGAATCGAAGCAGATATTCTTAAGCAATCCAATAGCTCCCCCACGACGCACTATACTTCCTTCGTGATGGACAAACGGTACAATACGTGAGAGCAGGTCAGTTTTTTGGTTGCAGATAATATCCCGACCTCGTTTGCACTGCGAGAGGTTACTGAAGAGTGGACCCAAGTAGTTCAAATGGCCTTTCTGCTTGTTATAGCCGATACGAGTGAGGCATGTCGTCAGCTTTTCAATCGCATGTTCAATCTTGAGAAGCTCTTCCAAAACGGCATTCACTAACGCTTCCGGCCGGCTCACGTTGCACAGAACCATGCTCCATGGATCGGCAAGTTTGTTATTTTCGTCCAATATTGCTGCGTAACTCAAGGGTACAATTTCGCCGACGAGCTGAAATTGAATTGAGTTATCAAACCTCATATTTCGTAATTAAGTTCAACTCACTTCTTTAACCAAAGCTTCAGCCCCCTCCTGTTCGGCGGAGATATTGACCAGCGTCAGGACGGCATCCTTTCGAACGGATTCGGATTCGTCTGCGGTTAGTTCAACCACATTGGACAGTAACTGCGGGCACTGACTGATGAGCGTAATTCCATCCTTTGAACCGGTAAGTCCTAAAACATGTGTCAGTGATACAGATTTCAGGTCCAGTCGAGCGGATTTGCTCAGGAACGGCGTCATTTCCCGGAGGGCTTCCATATCTTGTGGCGATATATGAAAACTTGAAATTCCTGCACGCGATAGGACAACACCATCACCGTTTGTTTTGATTTAGCTTGCGCGCTGCACATGAAATGTCAAAAGCACGTGCACATGAATCTCCATAGCGAAAAAGACTATGCTACGCATGGTAGTATTCAATGCACGTAAAATGGTCATCATCAGGTATTTTCAGCACACAGATCGATAAAACAAGCTTTTATATACTATCTAATATGAAAAACACAACAATGAACGATTATCACCGACAAACCGATATGATACTAAAACATAACTCTTGATCGAGAATCCATAACAGCGGATTCAAATGTGCAGCGATCCCATCTGTCAAAACCATAGAAATTTGTTATCTAGAAAAAAATATGTTGCCCGGAATAGATTAGACACGAACCAACTCATACATTTAGTATGTGTGTTCGTGGCTAGGATACAAATTTTTCGCGAACACGGCGGCAGATGTCAGTTTTGTGCTTTGATCAGAAATTTGATGATCCTTTGTATGATCATTCATGTCGGTTTGTCGGTGCGGTTATGTGCTCATGTTCTTAACGAAAGAGAAAGTCGACGAAGAGAATCGATCAATGTTACTTAGGACCTAATGCAATGTTCAGCTTGATATGTCAAGGATAAGCAGTGGAATTAAATAGAAATTTAATTACTAATTTTTCTCTCTTTCTGTATCAGGTATTCCATATGAGGGGGTTAGAAGGAAGGGGTGTAAGTGATTGATCGATTCTCTTCATCGAATTTCTCTTCGTTAATAATTCAGCCAATTCAATGTGTTGGAACATTCCTTGATTCGAGTGCCATTCTGGATGCTAGATGAGAACTTTCTTTATCAAACTATGTGGCAGAAACAGCGCAAAATCTGTTTATAAAGCTGTGGCTATCAAAAGAGGAAGTCGATGAAGAGAATCGATCAAAGTCATTTTATACCCCTGTCCTTCTATTATATAAAGAGACTGAATTGGGTGTCGTCTCTTTATAAATTCTCGCGTCACTTTTCAAATAGACCAATGTAACAAATGTAAACAAATCGAGTTAAGCGATACAAACTATTGCTCTTCTATGATGGTATGTGAAACAAAAACATCCATCCCAATTTACTTTCATTTATTTAAGATAATCACAGGTCAAAAATTGTCCAATGTACAGTTTGAAATGATGGGTACATGATTGTTACTTCGATTATTTGGACTGCCTAACACGATTGGTGCTCATTTTCTAAAGGCGGGGCCAACCTAAAGTTAGGTCGAGGGGGGTGACTCTATCTACGATGCAGAAAAGATTGTGTTTTGCTGTGGCTAGCTGCACGCACGATGAGTAGATAGAAGGAAGATTTATGTCGATTTTGAAGATTTCCTGCAAAAATATGAAGCACGATGCAAGTAGATGCGAGAAATGAAAGATGATTTTTCGAAGATTGATTCGCTAGTGTGAGATTTTTTGAGCATCTAGAATTGAGATTTAGATGTGTCGCCTCCCTCGAGTTAGGTGAAGTAATGAAATTGGGTTGTTAGCGGAATGCTTAAATAAAACAGCAAAAAAGGTTAGGTAGGTTCCGATTCAACACATTATAGTTTCATTTTTATACCAGTGATCTTGACGATTTAGGTTAGCGACTGAAAGTCAATTTTTATTTGTTATATGCGACAGTTAGAAGATACTGAGAGGTTAGCACATATCATCGGCAAGAGACGTGCGTGTGAGAAAATTTGCGAAAAAATCTAAGGGCACCGGTGGGATTCGAACCCACAATTCCCATTCAGTACACGGGTGCATTGCCAATTATACAACGGTGGACCTATGGTCTACGGATGTATTTGGCTAATGACATATGAGTTTCGAATCCGTTTCCCTCCCTTAGTCTTTTTGCGCAAGCGTTCTCAATACACAACAATCGTCTATTACCGACGATATGTGCTTGTACCGCAACCACTCAGTATCAGTCGATGTGAACAAACACAACTCATCTCTGTTCTACATCACACATGTTGGATACGGGATGTCCAATGCAGTATGAATAGAGTAATGAGCTGCTGGCCTCACCTCCGACCACCGGGCCATAGTGATGATTTATCATCAAATTAATTTTCGATTTAGGTTAGCGACTGAAAGTCAATTTTTATTTGTTATATGCGACAGTTAGAAGAGACTGAGAGGTTAGCACATATCATCTCGTGATCTTGACTTTTTTACCTAGGGATGAGTACTTAAGGAGGTTAGATTTTGATAAGTTCTTTAGTGGGAATGACACTGATGAAGACTGCACACTGTAGTAGAAATACGTATCTGTCATGGATACCAAAATTCATTAAGTGGAATTAAATGGAAGATAACCTTTTACCTTAAACCAGTTTTAGATTCAGCAATTTTTTTGATTCAATTCAGCGTTCAAATCACTTGAACTGCGAAATGAACGTCCAAATGTTTGGTCGATGTTGAACTTACTCTACTTGATGTCAACTCAATTGAACGCCGACTAACAGATCAGGGAATTCAACTCAATTGCCTTATCTAAACCCAGCTTTATTAAGCGATCAACGTTTTGACGGCAGTTTGAAGGAGTCTGCATAGCCATATTGTAGTTTCTAGCTATTGTGGTGTTATATAGTTTTGGTATTTTAAAGAAAATTCTAGTACCACAGACAAACAGACATAACTCATTGAATATTTCTCACTGTAAAACATCGTCTCTAAAACATTACCGCCATCTGTTAAGGGCCTGTTCATAAACTACGTAGACAGTTTTTTGAGATTTTTGACCCCCCCCCCCCTGCGTAGACAATGGCCCATACAAATTTTTCAAAATTTGTATGGTTCGTGGATAATTGTCAACCTCCCCCCCCCCCCAACTGTCTACGTAGTTTATGGACAGCCCCTAAGTACACTATGGTGGGTAGTACACTGAACTGATGGCGGTAGTGTGTAAACGTCAAACGCAAGGGAATTGACTGTGCGCGCCACAGGTGGCGGTACTACCAACTACGAAACTTTTAAATTTACCGTTAAATGCTTTTTCGATAAACAACTTGCGAGAGTTATGTCTGTTTGTCTGTGCTAGTACCATTTTAGCATTTCTAATTCTAAGATCATTTTAGAGAGAGAGCGTTCAGCGTTTGTTAAAGTGAGTTTGGCGCATTCAGATGATCGTGACGATTGATATGCCCTCCAACATTTTGAAAAAGCGGCGCCGGTGGTGTAGTGGTAAGCGTGATTACCTCTCACCCCAGCAGGCCTGGGTTCAATCCCAGTCGGCGCCGCCGCGATGTTCTGAGACAAAACATCTCTGATCACGCCTTCCTTCGGATGGGAAGTAAAGCCGTTGGTCCCCGGTTCATGAGTTGATGAGTCGATAGGTAGGGTCCAGGTGTAGCAGCTGTCTCCCTGGCGTCGGTAGCATTGGTGCTCAGCACGGAAAACAAGATCGACGGAAAACAAATCAAAGGAAAAAAAAAAAAAAAAAACATTTTGAAAATTTTGAAGCAATCAAATGAAACGCACCTTTAACACTTTGACCATTAAAACTATATTTGCAAGCCACAGATATATATATATAAGTACGGATACTGTAATTCGCATAGTTTGTTCGATTCACATCACTCCCACCGCTATTATAGTAAAATAAAAAGTCCATTCACTCGTTCTTCCTTTTCGCAACGAACCTATCCATCAGTCCATGCAGAATACTGCCAGGTATTCGCTGGTTTTTGTTAATCAGTTCTTCGATACCATATGCCACCTTCTCCTGCAGCTGTTCCGGCGTCAACGAAGCGTCGTACTCGATGGGTTTCCCCAAGTGAGTCCGGAACTTTACCGGGAAACCACCGTAAACCGGTCGCACTGGAAACCTCACGGCATTGTACAGCCGGATGAACAGCCGTTTGGCGAATCCGATCGAACGGAATCCCTCACGAAGGTTCTCCGTAAACATGGGAATAATTGGCGCTTTGGATTCGATTGCCACCTTGGCAAATCCGACTCGTCGTCGCCACAGCAACTCGTAGTTGCTGTCCCCGAATTGAGCCTCGTAGACACCTCCTGGAGCGATCGACAGCATGTTTCCTTCTTTCAGTACACTAGAGCACGACTGCACCGTTCCAGGGCTTACTTTCATTACTCGCGCCAGACACGACCAACCGGGCAGCATTTCCAGGAACCTATCCCCAACGGTGTAAATAAGACGGGATCGTTTCAAATAGACTCGAGCTACCAGGTAGTACATATCGATTGGAATCGCACCATGATAATAGATTATCAGTGCAGAGCCATTTTCCGGCAAGTTTTCTATACCGCATACTTCGTAGCCTTCAATGTACAATCATTACCTGTTAGTCATTGAATTATTTGTTTGAATCAAATAATATAATTACCATGAAAAATCCAACCGTGAGCATCCCACACAACGGCGACCAGTGTTCTCGCGACATCCCAAAAATCAAAATCGCCATCATTGTACACTTGTAAGATGAACCGACTGAAACGATTGGAGAAGAAAATTACGGTGTTGTCGAACGTGAATCGCATCGAACAATCATCTCTCACTAACCTGTGCAGTTTGTAAACATAGAGAAAGGAGATTGACAAATATATCAGCAAAACAAAGACCGAAGGCAACACAAAGGTCATCATCAGTGGAGTCAGTAACCGGTAGAGCCATATCGAGTAATCTAAATCTACGTATTGACCTGGAATGAAACAAACAAAAAAAAAACAAAATTCTAAAACAATGCATGGGGATGACACATGACCCCACTTATACGTGGGATAATACCCACCTATGTAGCTGAAAATTGTTGAGTTCATTACGGTGTCATTATTAAGCGCTATCAATTCCTCCGCGACAGTGCCCATTGTAAGCGAATGCTAAATTACTGTAATCTTACGTGATGCAAGCGTGTTTTCTTTCTTAACTTTAAAGGACGATGTTTTCTAACGTAGTCTATTGTTGCATCAAGAGTCCAGACAAAACAGTATCATTTATGGACATTGGGGTTTTTTTTTCCTCCGTGTCACGTCTGACTCAATACTGATAAAATATTTTCTTCTATTGTGACGTATTGATGCGCCCCACTTCCTGCAGTTCTGCTTTGTTGTGCTTGAAGAAGGCACCCTAATTTGGGTCATTGCCTCCGTTGCGAAACGAACCCTGCATCCATCAGCACAATAAACAGTACCATATCAATGTTGCACCACCGTATGTTGGCACTTTCACTTCCGAAAAATCCTCCAACACAACCGACCTCGAAATATAACAAACAACAAACAAAACTTGTTTCTTTCAATTTGCTTCTTATACGGCCTGCGCTTCTGCTGGTGTTGCTGGTGGAGTCCGACGATGTTCTAAAGGTGCCGCCGTGAGAAGACTGGCAGAAAATATCTCTCTCTAGATCGGCTGATTGCGAATTTGACTTTGAGCTTTAAGCTTGGTTTAGACAGGGCAAGTCAATTGATCAAGTCAGTTGAATTCAACTGACTTGAACGCGAATTGAACGTGTAAACCATGCCATTCAACTGACTTGATCAACTCACTTGAATTGAAAAAAGTTGAACCAGGTTCAACTTTTCAAACCAATTGAATTCAACTGACTTGATCAATTGACTTGCCCTGTTTAAACCCAGCTTAACGGGGAGATCTCTCGCGCGTCATTGCGTTGGCAGTATTTTGCAAGTATGTTTTGCGTCGATAAAGGAGTTGTTGCGTGAGAATGCTCCGAAACTACCATGTAAACAGAGAGCCACAGTTCAGAGGAAAGGGAGAAAAGTCAGAAGCTCTTTTGACAACTTGACATCAAGTTTTAATGGTGCTTAAGGTGATACGATCCACAAATCATCGGCAGAATGGCTGACGTGCACTGCCGCTTCGAATTTTTTAGAAAGCAAATCTCGCACAGTATTTTCGAGGGGGACGACTCTATCTACGATGCAAAAAAGATTGTGTTTTGCTGTGGCTAGCTGCGCACACGCTGAATAGATAGAAAGAAGATTGATGACGATTCTGAAGATTTCCTGCAAAAAGATGATGAACGATGCAAGTAGATGCGACAAATGAAAGAAGATTTTTCGAAGATTGATTCGCTAGTGTGAGATTTGTTAAGCATCTAAACTTGAGATTTAGATGTGTCGTTCCCCTCGAGTATTTTCGATTTCAGGCATGAAATTCGCTTCCCCATATTTGCTGCGTCGTTTCCGGTAGCTGATAATTATACTCCGAAAGATGCGAAGTGGCATCAGACCAAGGGCTTCCAGATCGTATCGCCTAAACGTTAGAATCAGATGCAATAAAGAAAAAACGTCTTTATTAAACTAGGATACGCAGAAAAAAGTTTTCATGTAGTTTCCATTGGGAATGCACTTAGTATTTTCACCGACAAACCGACATGAATTATCACACAAATTATATGATTTGAGTAGTAGCTATACTGAAGATCCGAGAGATGTCGCCCCTTCAGTGGTAGGAAAAGCTTTTTTGCAGTATGGAGAATATCAGAAAATCCACGATTTGTGACTAAACATCCTTGCACAGAAGGAAACAAATAAACGAGTGTTTACCTTATCACCATAGTAATGTACTCGTGCAATTTTTGTGCATCTAAAACTGCTCATAAAGACGATAATGAATAAAAACTGAAAATTTTCATGCATTTCCAAATGGTTTCCTACCATTCCCATACATTCGAAAGTGACTGGCCCTCTGGATGTGGATGATATCAAAATCAACAAAACATGATTAATTACAATGAAATTTCTGATCAAAGCACAAAACTGACATCTGCCGCCGTTTTCGCGTACACGCATACAAAATGTATGAGTTGGTTCGTGTCTAATCTATTTGGGACAAATTATTTTTATCTAGATAAATTATTTCTATGGTTTTGACAGATGGGATCGCTGCACATTTGAATCGGCCGTTATGGATTCTCGATCAAGAGTAAAGCTTTAGTTTCATGTCAGTTTGTCGAAATTGAACTGGTGAGTGTTGATTTTGATTTGAAGTTCAGGTGCACCGTACAAACGCTAAAATTTGAGCTAAAAACCGTGATGATAGTGCATATTCAAGTGGTGTTAATCGTTGAAATATAAAATTGGTGAAATTTTTTTTTTAATTCTTTATTAAAGAGATTTTTAGCCGTAGGCTAGTTCATCTCTAAAAAACTATGACCGAGATTTGTGTTTGCTGGAAGTGTCCCGTGGTGTTCGATTTATAATTGCAATTTCCAGCAAGTAATCGTACCCGAATCGGACCAATTTTGCCGTCAAACTTTCATTTGAATTCGGTGAAGAAGTGGGATACCGGAAGGAAGGCAAAAATCGTCTGAGGGGAACGCATAGCATTGCGGAGAGGAAAAACCAAGGGAATTCCAAACCTAACCTCAACTCGTCGGTTCGAGGGTACGGACAACAATCAAAAGTGCGCGGTGGGCTTAGCGAAACACGATTGTAAATAATAACAGAAGAGAAATTATAACAGGAAGCGTGAAAAAAATGAAGTTGATGTAGTGACATACGGGATACGGGAAGTTTCCAGTGAAATTCGGGAATACGCGGGCCGTGGAATCAGGGAGTGAAACCTATCGAGAAGTGACCATTGACCGAAATTAGGAAACGGCGGGGCTCGTAAACGCTTTACGACGTGTCCGGTGGCACCCGTGGGAAGTTTGAGGAACCGGGTACCCATCTTTGGGGGGAAAATTAGGATCCGAAGCTGATCGGTAGGAACCGGAATTTTGTTTTGCCTTGATTTCGATCTTGTTTTCCGTGCTGAGCACCAATGCTACCGACGCCAGGGAGGCAGCTTCCACACCTGGACCCTACCTTTCGACCCATCAACTCATGAACCGGGGACCAACGGCTTTACTTCCCTTCCAAAGGAAGGCGTGATCAGAAATGTTGTACCTCAGAACATCCCGGCGGCGCCGACTGAGATTGAAACCAGACCTGCTGGGGTGAGAGGTAATCACTACACCACCGACGCCGCTGGGACCGGAAGTTAAAGCCAACAAGCGGAGGTGTCACGACCTGTCTCGAGAAGTGTACAGCGGAGAGATTCGCAAGTTCACTAGGACATAGCAAGCTTTCTTCGGACCAACCATGACAGGATCAAGTGCGGAGGCCACAGCAAGGATTAAGCGTATCGCTGACAGCAGGAATACCGAGGCTGGACGGGGCACCAGACAGTCGAAAAAAAAGAACCAGGATGCTGCAAGCAACACGCTGGAACAGCAAACTCAAGACGGGGCACACAACGAGGAAGCCCAACGCAAAACCGTAGTCCTCGCTAGAGTCCTCGAGACTATCGACATTGGAAAAGACTTCCCAAGTCATCCTACCCTCCTCGAATAATACCTAAGGGGCAAAGGATTCCACGATTTCTCCGAAATGTCCAAGCTAGGGAAGTTCAGGTTTAAGGTTGACACCGAGTTAGAAACCGAGCTGAGACGATTAAAGCTGGCGGATGCCAACTTGAGACTACGAACCCAAGATCATACCATCACCTTCATCAGAGGAGTCCCACCAGCTTCAACAAGGAAGAGATGTTACAGAACATAGAAGCAGAACACCGAGCAATCAAAGTTCAAAGCAAACGCAACGGAACAGGAATGGAGAGCACAATGATGGACACAATGAACATCAAGGTAACGGTTGATGGTGCGCAAGTGCAAACTGGGTGAAGATCTTCGCTTGTAACTTCAGGCCCGAATTGTATATTTTTCCCATCCGCCAGTGCAAGAACTGCTGGAGATTCGGACAGGGAGCCAAGTTCTGCACCTCTCGTGCAAGATGCGTAAACTGTGGAGTCATGCACTCAATGGCAGACTGCAACATGGACGCTAAATGCCCAAACTGCAAACTCAGACATGGATCAAACTGTATCGAGTGCCTAGAAAGGAAAAGACCCGTAAAGATTCGGGAAACAATTAGGGAGAAGCAGATCACTTTCACCCAGACAGAAACCCCCTTCCCGAAGCTGCAAAATCGATTCAATCTCCTGGACCAACAGGGAGAAGAGGGAAATGAAGGTGATTTCCTAAGGCTCGGAGGAAGCGATCAAACCAACCCGAGAGACGACCCGGGAGAGACAGGAACCCACCACACCCAACGAGGAAGGTGATCGTGGGCTGCTATGGAAACTCGAAAACCTGTTGCAGGAAATCTGGCTCAGGAAGGAAGAAAATTTCAGATTGACTCACTTTAGACTGAAATCAAGGATACGGGAAGTCGAAATTCTAGTGCATGAGGCCCTGGACTACGAAACGATACAGTTCGAGGACCTTCTACCAAAGTTATAGGGGTCAAAATAACCAAAGAGTTTTTTCCGCTCACACTGGTTTCCGTGTACGTTCCCTCAGTGAAATCAGAAGCAAGATGCTGGAGCTCTTCGAGAAGCTGGACCACATGGAAGGTGAAATTCTTATTCGAGGCGACTTCAACCGTCACCATCGAAGCTGGGACCCCGGCAGTTGGTCAACTGCTACAAAGGAAACCTGCTCAACAGCATCTTGGAAGCCTCCAAGTTTATCTTCCTGAACGACGGTACGACAACATGCATGTCCACGGTCAACAGAAGCAGTACAGCAATCGACCTCTCTCCGGCAACTGCCGATCTAGCAACCAAGGCTTCTTGGGAAGTGGTCATACAAGAATTCGGAAGCAACCATGTGTCGATCGTCATTGAAATCGCAAGTGAGATCCCGGTGGCACTAGGAAAAATGAAACGGGTCAACAAGGACAAAGCAGCGGATTTGAACAACCAGCTGAAGCCTCCCTCAATACATCTATAGCCCCGCCAAAATGCAGACAATATTCAAGGATAGCATAGAACAAGCCAGCTTCATCATCAAATACAAAAAAGGAAACTACCTGAAGCGCTGGTGGTCCGAGGACATCAACGAATCCTATGAGACCAAACGAGAGAAACTTCGAAACTATAACCGAAACAAGAGCATAACCAACCACCTGGAACTCCAAAAAGCACGGGCTATCCTCAAGAGGCTCATACGGAAGGCAAAACGGGTTTATTGCCAGGAACTCGCATGTCACCATGTATATACCCACCATGCTTATGTCCTCATCAACACCTCGACTACAACAAACCAACATGTGCGAGGACTGCCCCGGAATGACCGTTGCGTTTCACATCCCCAAAGACTGCGTATCTGCCTTTGAGGGCATTACAAAACCCTAATACACACGACTTTTATTATCTTACGAACACAAGACAAATTTTGCAAACCTACTTCCCGCGTCATCCTGAAGGGCACAGAAGGGGAAGGGCAAACAAATCGGTGAATCAAAAAGTGGTTCGTTTTTCTGCTCAACAAGCGATGTGTTGATAGCGGTCCACACGGGCTTCTATGTGCACTCACACCACCGACGAACTCACATTATCATAGCATGCAGCCTATCTTAACTGCAAGCAGAAGATGCCTTTTATCGCGAGGTGCGCTAGTGTCCGCCAATGAAAAGTGGAGCCACTTTCTGATCCGAAGTTCCACTTCTGTTTTGTGTCAAGGGACTGGCGAACGAATATTACGAATTGATGCATCATCTATTCGAGATCATATTCTACAACCGATCAGTTCCCATGAGGTGGTAACCTCGGTAGTAACCACATTTATGAGAGAATTTTTTCTTCTCATAGAGATTAGTGACGTTTAACGCACTCACACTAGTGGGTGCATCGCCGTGTAAAGTTGTTTATTATTTTACTCCATCATCACATGATTTGATTCATCAGGTAAACAAAAAACCTTAGAGATAACGAACACCTTGATTCATTTCACGCACATTATGGTGTTCGTCTCTTTTTTAGCCGAACCACTGAAGCGAGGTTCGTTATGTTAACCAAAATTGTTTAATTTGGTTTATTAGATAAACCGACATGTACTCATAACGTACGAAGGACATCTTGCTCTCGATTACGATCTATGTAATCAAAGGGTCGACGCAATCCAGCGACAGAATATACGTCACACTACATGCACTACATCGATCATCTAGTAACTGTCAAACAATGAAGACTTCGGCGGAGCGCGTTCGATGGTACGCGTACCTACACGCCCATAGGTATTCTTCCGTAGTCTTGGGGTAGGCGTCTCTATGATTAGAACCTATTAGACCCTTAAGGGTTTCGATTATGCCTAGTGGTACCTCATTCCGGTTCCACATAATACAAAGCAGCTGATGTTTATATTGGAACTGGGACTCCGGGCCATCGCGTATCAGCTTCATCTTCAAAGCATGTTGGGTCTCCAGGATGTGTTCCATAAATCGACGCCGAAAACGTTTAACAGCATGCTCATGTATGTTTTGTTAGTTTTTCGTCAAATAATGCAAAAACAAGACTAATGGCAATGAACGCAATTTTTTTATAAATTTTCGATCTGGTAATCGCGTTGGCGATTATTTCGCAGTTGACTTTTACAAAGCAATCCTCATAGGTGCATGAGATTTGAGTTTTAGCATTTTTCGGAATTTATTAATATATTTGTTTGTGCAAATCATAGGTTCAATGCAACCCCAGTGAGGGTTTGCTTTTTCAAACCAGCATAGGGACTACATTGAGCCTGTATTGTTCTATCGAAAACAGTATTTCATATTAATTCAACAAATAAATAAAGCAATTGCCCATGTTGCTTCTTGACCAATCTTGCCCCACCAAACCCTATAATAACGAATGCATACGTATCGAATTCACGACTTGCTTATCTGGTTCACCCTATTAAAGAGCGAGTCATGTCGTGGGTATGAAAGAGACGCCTGTGCCCTCTACAGTTGCTGTACTTGCAGTTGAGCATTCAAAGCAGACGCGGTCTTTCTCTTGTAAATTCAAACGATTTTCTTTTCTTTAAACTCATCGTTACTGATAGATCGTAGGTTTGTTCTATCGAAAACAGTGTTTCATGTTAATTCATCAATGTTTGCACGGTTTCTTAATAACATAAACAGTTCTTGACTCCTAATAATCGAAAAATGTTCATCCTATTCGCACTTGCTGTACTGATTTGCTCGTTTCAAACCTGTTTCTCTGAAATTGGATGTCGCGACGAGGACAACAATCTTGTTGATTGGTAAGTATAGGTATAGTAAGCTTCTCGCTGCGAGTCTTCATTTTATTCTCTAATATGTCACTTAGGTACTACCTGTACAAACTGCCTGCGGCAGCAGCTCCCCTTAATGGCAATAACCTACACAAGGAAACAACCGCAGGACTGCACTATGCATTCATTACATCGAAAGGAACAACTGGTTGGCAAATATCCGAGGTGAATGTCAATCAAAGTGAAAGCATTCCTGGAAGAACGCTGAAACCTCTCCTAACCGGTGGCAATCAACTGCTTCGAATCTTGTACAACGATGAACCGCCAAAGGGCGAAACGGATGGTTTACGAGGTCACACCAAGGGTGTAGTCGCTACCGATGGAAGCACCGGATTTTGGTTGATTCATTCCGTCCCCAAATATCCACCGATGCTCGGTGAATCGTATCATTATCCTGACACGGGGAAAATCTACGGACAGAGTTTCCTTTGCATAAGCGTTGGGGCAGACCAGATGGAAACGATCGGTCAGCAGTTAATTTTGAATGAACCGCACGTGTATTCGTTCGCCATTCCGGACGATTTAAAGGAACGGTTCCCAAAGCTTGTCCGAGCTACGGAGATGAAAGCAAACAAAGATCCTCCCTTCTGGAGTGCTGCAAATTTGAAATCATCCGATGGAACAGTGTTTCATTCCTTCGCCAAGAGTCGCCAGTTCAAGAAGGAGTTGTATGCGGATTTCATAGCTCCCTCGTTGCAGGTGGATTTACTGGTGGAAACCTGGCAGCATGGAGCCGGAAATTTACCGAGTGATTGTTCCACCTCCAAGTGGAAGGTGATGAACGTAAAGCAGGTGCAGGTGACCGAGAAATATCAATTCGCGACGCTGAAAGATCACTCCAAATGGGCAGTTTCGGTGCCGGGAGATAAGGACTACGTCTGTATCGGAGACATCAATCGTCAAGAACATCAGAAGGTTCGGGGAGGCGGAAGTGTCTGCAGCCAGTTGGATGAGATAGTCAATACCTACCGTATAATGGTGGATGACATTGAAAGTTGCCCGAAAAAGTGAAGTAATCTAGTTAGGTTGAACTTTGAAGATCTCATTTTCATTTTCAAATCGATGTTTGAAATAGTTTTCGCATTTATTTCATAAACATTTAAGAGAATTTATCAATAAACTTATTAATAATCATCCTGTTCGTCGTGTTCCTCCTTAATCACCACGCACTGCAAAGGATCACCGATGAAAGACTTCGCGTCAGCTGTTCCCGATTCTGACGATTCAAATCTCATAGGAATCATCGGTTCCGGTGGGACCGTCTGGTCACACTTTTTCTCCAGCAGCGTAATCCGATTGTCCAATATGTGCATCAAATCTCGCATTTGTAGAAAAGTTTCCCGAATGGCTCGCACCTCATCCCGGAAGCTGTAGCCATCGGCTTCCACGGGAATAACCGCTCGTGGCTGTTGCTTCGGTTTGGGTATTTTCTGTTGCAGCAATTTATCCACCACGATTTCATACACCAGTCTCGAGTATACTGCCATCGAGTGCACATGAATGCACACAAAGATTGTGCTGGAATTGTGCCATCTTTCAAGTGCCGCGTTTGTCATATGTTTCCAGTGATAATTCTGCAAAGAGACGTTCAATATAACCAATCAATTCGGATAAAACATATTCTACTCACCTTCCTGGTCTTCCTGTCAGTAAATGAAATGTAGTGTTGTGCCTGCTCAATGGAGGGCCGTGTTGGATCACCCCAGCTAACATTCACAACACCATTGTTGTCCGTTTCGACGTCGACCGCTTGCTTAATGTGTGGTACAGCCAATTCCCACAGATAGGTCCGGAATGCTTCGATACTGTGCGCTCGAATGAGCCAATAGGTTAGCCCTTCCAGATTGATCCTTTGCCCGATAAACTGTCGTATCGATACTTTAAATAGACACCGAATGGCTCCATTCTCCGGTCCTACCGTTTGATTCGAAATGGGTGATTCTGATTCTTCCCACATTAGTTCAACTTTATCCTCCTCACATTGCATATCCACAACTTGCTGCTCGTCTTGGCTTACGTCGGCCAATGAGTCCATTGATGAACTGCACGATTCGTGATCGAGTTCGTTGAACAACGTAGGAATCCAATCGATTTCAGATATACTCGTTAACTTCGCCGGCTGCCCTGTTAATTTAATTTAGATTGGGTTTAGAACTTCCTATACATAATAATAATAATAAAAAAAAAACAACAAAGCTACTCACCGGACACAAAGTGTTTACCGCAGATTCTTCCGGTGTATCCTCCAAATCTTTTACGAATTACAGTATTCCAGGCGGCCAAACGTTTCTCGGTAAGATTCTTCAGGTGAACGGACTTCGCGTGAAAACGGTCCGGATCAGGCCAATTGAAAAAATGAATCTGCTTTCCTTGCCCCCGAACGTACCTGGAGTGGCAACCAGGAACACAACAACGAAACTTTGTTGACATTTCACGATTGTGACAGTTGGAAAACAAGCGCTCCACAGCGAAATTAAATACTTTTAAATATTTCGGTAAATTTGTACAATTTAATAATTGATTATCGTTTATAAATTGTAATTTAACCAATATTGACGCTTACTTCGAGTCATGTGGTGCATCACCAAAATTTCAAACAGCCTAGGGTAAATGTCATGTGTAATATTTCCTACCTAAAGCGCTGTCAAACGGTTGTCAAATAATTACAACACAGAAACCACCATCAAGATAGCACTATAACATGTTATAACTCTGTAGTCTGAACAAGGCATATATATTTGATATCTTATGCCTTGTTCAGACTATAGAGTTATAACATGTTATAACGGTTGTCAAATAATTGCAACACAGAGACCACCATCAAGATAGCGCTATAACATATTATAACTCTGTAGTCTGAACGTACTATTATAGTACGTTCAGACTACAGAGTTATAACATGTTATTGCGCTATCTTGATGGTGGTTTCTGTGTTGCAATTATTTGACAACTGTTATAACATGTTATAACTCTCCAGTCTGGACAGCGTTTTATTAAACGCTGTCCAGACTGGAGAGTTATAACATGTTATAACGGTTGTCAAATAATTGCAACACAGAAAACACCATCAAGATAGCGCTATAACATGTTATAACTCGTAGTCTGAACGTACTATTAGATCTTTGAAGGTAATGCCTTGTTCAGACTACGGAGTTATAACATGTTATAGCGCTATCTTGAGATTGGTTTCTGTGTTGCAACCAGGGCGTCACAATATCAGCTTCAATTGACCAAATCGATGCGACGAAGAGACTGCTGGCTTTCTTTTTCTGTTATGCCTTGTTCAGACTGGAGAGTTATAACATGTTATAACGGTTGTCAAATAATTGCAACACAGAAACCACCATCAAGATAGCGCTATAACATGTTATAACTCTGTAGTCTGAACGTACTATTAAAGTCGAACAGCTTCGCAGCATTCTAGAACCTCAGTCGGCGTGCACAAACAAATGTTCAATCGCTTGTCTCTCTTTCTCCCGTCGCTCCATTGGTCTTCCTTTCAAGCTTCGTCGAAACGGATGAGCGAAAGAGCGCTCGACTTTGATAGTTTTCTCTTTCATGAAACACATCAACAGAGGTTTCATGACGTATATGACGGAAATGAAATAACACATTTAAAGCATTTCTCACGTCAAAACACTTGAAGATTACACGTCATATTTCTAATTTATCTTCCATCCATATAATTATCTAAAAAAAAATGATCGAAAACGGGACATAACGCATTTTAAACAAATTGAGAGAGCGGTGATAGAATGTTCGTGAAAGGGGATTGAAAGCCATAATGAGGTTCGTTTAACTAGAAAATCGACGTTAGTTACATTGAAAGCGATGAGCAAAGCAACGACGAGAAGTTCCACAGCCAGCCTTTCCTTCTAATAGTACGTTCAGACTACAGAGTTATAACATGTTATAGCGCTATCTTGATGGTGGTTTGTGTGTTGCAATTATTTGACAACCGTTATAACATGTTATAACTTTCCAGTCTGGACAGCGTTTAAGCGTCCTGCTTTTTTTATTTTCGTTTCTTGCTGATAGTCTAGCTAGGCGTTATAGAAATGAAGCGTCGAACACGTATGTATGAGAGAAACAAAACACGAGTTCATTTTAGAGCTTCGAAATTGTAGAGCCCTGGTTGCAACTATTTGACAACCGTTATAACATGTTATAACTAACGGCGCCGGTGGTGTAGTGGTAAGCGTGATTGCCTCTCACCCCAGCAGGCCTGGGTTCAATACCAGTCGGCGCCGCCGGGATGTTCTGAGGCATAACATCTCTGATCACGCCTTCCTTCGGATGGGAAGTAAAGCCGTTGGTCCCCGGTTCATGAGTTGATGGGTCGATAGGTAGGGTCCAGGTGTGGGAGCTGCCTTCCTGGCACGTCGGTAGCATTGGTGTTCAGCACGGAAAACAATATCGACGGAAAAAACAAACCAAAGGAAAAAAAAACATGTTATAACTCTGTAGTCTGAACGTACTATTAAACGCTGTCCAGACTGGAGAGTTATAACAACAATCAATACGAAACTAACGATTTTAAATTGGCTCACCACTTTAGTAGCCTATTGGCCCCAAGCAAACGATTAACGTACCCTATTCTAGTTGAAATTCTATTACTACACTATGTTTGTTTTGATTCGCTATGAAAGTTTGACAGATAACATCAGGGGTGTGTGGATTCATGCAGAACATGCAGGGGTGAGTGAAATAGCTTGGGACTGCTTGGGACCGTTGTTCTGGTACTGAGTGAGCCAAAAATAATAATCATTTTCTTCGGGACCCAGTGGTCTTAGAGTTACCTCTATGGTTATAACATGTTATAACGGTTGTCAAATAATTGCAACACAGAAACCACCATCAAGATAGCGCTATAACATGTTATAACTCTGTAGTCTGAACGTACTATTAAATTTAACTCGGCAAATCCCAACAAACAATTTTAGCTGCAGCTTAGCTTATACAGGCAAAAATTAGCTGCATAAGGCAAATTTTGGCTGTATAAGCTAATCTGCAGCTAAATTTGTTTGTTGGGATGGTTCACAGCCTTAAGGGGGTTAGGATTTTGATAAGTCTTTAGTGGGAATGACACTGTTAAAGACTGCACATTGTAGTCGAAATACGTATCTGTCATGTATACCAAAATTATTTAAAACGCCGGCCAGACTGGCGAGTTATAACATGTTATAACGGTTGTCAAATAATTGCAACACAGAAAGCACCATCAAGATAGCGCTATAACATGTTATAACTCTGTAGTCTGAACGTACTATAAGGCTGTGAACCACTTGCCGAGTTAAATTTAACTCGTGGTTAAAAGTGACATTTCGAAAGTTATTTTCTATGTTTGAAAATTCCTGTGCTGTCGATCGACCGGTTTTCGAGAAGAACTTAGCCAAGATTGTCACAGTTTAACTTCTTGTCTGTCAGAAGTAACCACGCTCGGATAGCAGGGTAAAACGCTGTCCAGACTGGAGAGTTATAACATGTTATAACGGTTGTCAACTAATTGCAACAAAGAAACCACCATCAAGATAGCGCTATAACATGTTATAACTCTGCAGTCTGAACGTACTATAAATCGATAACTTTTCATCTGTCAAATTTTAACATGTTATAACGGTTGTCAAATAATTGCAACACAGAAACCACCATCAAGATAGCACTATAACATGTTATAACTCTGTAGTCTGAACGTACTATAAGTACTCATCCCCTACACGGTAACCGCAAAATACCCAATAATGACTACAAAGTAAGCATTTTCGAGGGTAACTGGGACTACCCATTAAATGAGTAAAATTTTACCCATTTATGAGTAATTCGACAGTGAGAATGCATAAGGGCGTACACGCGATGATCGATTCTCTTCGTCGATTTTCTCTTTTGATAATAACTCGCTATATTTAAGGTTTCTCGGTGCGTTTGCTGATGCTTTTGATAGCCAATACAACCTGTTACAACTCTGCATTGAACCATAGACAAACAGACATAACACATTGAATATTTCTCATTGTAAAACATCGTCGCTTAAACATTACCGCCATCTGTTGAGTACACTGTGGTGGGTAGTACGCTGAGCAGATGGCGGTAGTGTGTAAACGTCAAACGCAAGGGAATTTACTATGTGCGCCACAGGTGACAATACTACCAACTGATATACTTTCAAATAGACTGTTAAATGCTTGTTCGATGAACAGCTTATGAGTGTTATGTCTGTTTACCTGTGATTGAACTTTTTTTTTCCTTTGGTTTGTTTTTTCCGTCGATCTTGTTTTCCGTGCTGAGCACCAATGCTACCGACGTGCCAGGAAGGCAGCTCCCACACCTGGACCCTACCTATCGACCCATCAACTCATGAACCGGGGATCAACGGCTTTACTTCCCATCCGAAGGAAGGCGTGATCAGAGATGTTATGCCTCAGAACATCCCGGCGGCGCCGACTGGGATTGAACCCAGGCCTGCTGGGGTGAATCTGTGATTGAACTATTGTCTAGAAAATTGTTTCGCTTAGCAGTAGCAATGCAATGAGAAAATCGATGAAGAGAATCGATCATCGCGTATACGCCCTTATGCATGCTCTTTGTCGAATTACAACTACAAAAACAAGTCTAGATAAACAATTCAAAAGGTCCTATCTGCATTGACCGATTCTCTTCATCGACTTTCTCTTCCATTAATAACTCAACTTCAAAAGCATTCCCTGCTGTGTTCAACGTTCTAAGCACAAGATAAGAACTTCTGCTATCAAACTGTGTGGCAAAAATAGTACCAAATGCATTTGCGTAGGCGAGGATATCAAAAGAGAAAGTCGATGAAGATAATCGATCAAAGCAGATAGGACCATTTGAAATGTTTATCGAGAAGTAGTAAGTATTCATTTTTGAGTAACAAATACTCATAAATGGGTAATATTTTTACTCCTTTAATGGGTAGTCCCAGTCCCCCTCGAAAATGCTTACTATGTAGTCATTGTTGGGTATTTTGCGGTTACCGTGTAGGTAAAAATTTCAAGATCACAAAAGCATTCCGCTAACAACCCTATTTCATTACTTCATTATAAATACCACAATGTACTAAATAAAGCTATGTAATGTTTTTCATTTAAAATTACTAAAATATTGTCAGTAATGATTGCAATGATTTGTATTTACATTGCTTGTTTGATACCGCGCTTGACAGTTCGATTGGTGCTTCTGCGCTTCCCTCTTAACGGGACTATTATTATAAGATTGACTCTTTAATTTATGTAAATACATCGAAATACCGATTTCTGTGAACGGATACCTAACGATATTAAAAAAAATAGTGCTGGGGCCAACTTTTTCCGCTTACAAAATTCGGTGTTTTGCCAACGCCATTTATAATAAGTTCAATGTTTCCACGTACTGGTTGAATAGAGTACTTACTTATTTTCATAATGCACGGATTGCTCTTGTTTGAATTCCGTTTAAATCACAATAAATTCTTTCAATTCTTTTAAAAAATTTAG